AGGAGGTAGAGATACGGGCGTTGTATCCGTGGGGAGCATGGCGCTGGAGGGCACTGGCAGGGGCGGTCTGGGAGATGGCGGCGGCGGCGGCGTGGGCGGCGGTGGCGACAGCGTCCCATTGCAGGGCTGCGAGGGCAGGCCGCAACGAAGACGCATGCAGCTTATCCGGACATTTATGCATGTATGCATGTATGCATGTATGCATGTATGCATGTATGCATGTATGCATGTATGCATGTATGCATGTATGCATGTATGCACACACGCACATGCCCCAGGGTGGGCTGTCAGCGGAGTTCAGGCTCCCAGGAGCGAGAGGTCGCAGCAACAACAAAGCGACAAGCGAGTCAGGGTGAGTCAGGCTGGTAGGCCCGGGGCCCGCGGCCCGGTCAGGCGGAGTGCTGCCAGGATGATGTGGATGGGGGATGTGTGCACTGTGCAGCTTCTGAAGGATGTGGAGGACGGCGAGGAGAAAAGAGAGCGGTGGCGCTGTCGGCATGGTATCGGCCTAACAACTTGCTGTGTTGCCTGTGTGGGAGTGTGTTGCCTGTGGCTGTGGGGCTGTGTGGTGGCTAGCTATTGCACCCACCATCACAAGTACTTTGATCCGCCACTTGGAGTCCGTCAGCAAGTCGCCTGTGACGGCTCGAGCCTGAGCCTCCACAATAAAGGTGCTGTACGTGTCGTACGGTAGCCCAGCATTTACAAGCAGCTACGAGCAACAGACAGTCAGCAGCCGCGACGCAACACGCGAAAACATGGAAATCAAAAGGCCGAGTAGTCATAGGAAACAGGAGGTAAATGTTTGTTACAGGGTAAAACGCCATGACAACATGGCATGTGGCGCGCCGCAGCGCAGGAGGTTACTGAGTCCTAGAGTCCGCTACGTGTGTTGCGCCATGCGTGCTCATAATCCTCAGGATTTAGCTGGCCCTGGCCTTGGTCTATAACTTATAGTTATAGACAACGAAGGGTGAAGACCCCAAGGAGAGAGGGAAGGGGAGAGAGGGAGGCGGAAGAAGGAGAGAGAGGTGCTACCGTACCTTTAGCGGGTCGAAGACGTACAAGGTGTCCGAAGTTGAAACCTCCTGCCGCCACTCCATGCTCTGAGGTCCAGTCAGCTGCACCAGCCAAATGAGCGAGGTGAACCTCCCGGGGCGTTTGGGATTGTTGAGCTGTTCGGCTCGTGCACGCGGCACCGAGCCGTCCAGCTTTACGGCGGCAGCGCAGCGCAGAGTTATGGGGTCCAGCGGGGACACGTTATTGAAAGCGAAAGTGGCCGGCTCCCTCGTGGTGGCGCTGACGGGGCAGGCGTTGACTTGGACCCAGGTCTGCGGGCAGCGGTTTAGTTGGGGCGGCCAGGGTTCGTGAGGGCTGGGTTGGCGACGGCAGGTGGAAGGTCTGTTGGTGGGTCGCGCTGCGGGTGCTTAACTTAGGGTTTTACTTAGCCCCTCTTGTTTGACTTGGCCTGTCTTGTTCTACCTAGTCCGTCAGCCCTGGGTCTAGAGTTGTCTTCGGCACAACGGCAACAGAGCAGCACATACCGAAGCAGCACATACCGAAGCGCACCCATGCCAGCATAACATCGCACCGTGTTTAGCATGGGCATATCATGGCCATAGCACACGCGTCTAACACACACGCACACATGGCGCGGGCTCAGCACAAGCACAGCAGCGCTGTAGCTGTCGCACCTGGCCGGGCGCGAAGCTGCCCACGCCGCCACCCCATCCTCCGAGCTCCTCTGGCCAGCGAGGTTGTGTGCCCACATGGAGACGGACCTGGCCACCACGCGTTCGAGGGAGGGTCACCAGGGATGCGGCCCCCACAGGAGGGTGAGATCAGTCCAACAAAAAGGGGGAGGCGTAGGAAGGATAGCCGCGTACCGCCCTGACCGGACTCAACCTGCTGCTCTTGTTTTCCTTGTATGCTCCTTGTCCATGATCACGCACAATGCCACGCAATTTGGACTGGCCAGCATATGTAGCACATGGAGGGGCTTTCTGTCGGGTTTCAAGTGGATGGATCTGACTGTGTGAAGAATGTGATGGGAGCATGTGACCTGAGCTGGCCAAGTTGGCGAACCTTATCTGCAGTATCTGGCTGAGGAGGGTCTCAAATAGCTGGTCGGCGCGCGGCTACGAATAGTCTGGATGGTTTGGTTAGCTCGACACAGCTTTCCTTTTTGCGCGATAGGATGACAGTTCCTCTTGTGCGTTTTTACGGTACCTATCTGATCCGGAGTGTTTCGGCCGCTACACTGGCGCGGGGGCCCCCCTCTCATCCTTGGGGCTTGCATGGGGCTCCAGGTTACACCTTTTGGAGGGTAACTCAACAATTGGCGGTATAACACACACACACATACACACACACATACACACACACACACACACACACACACACACACACACACACACACACACACACACACACACACACACACACACGCGCGCGCGCGCGCGGAAATAAGAACGCAACTAGTCCATGTTTGTCGAGGACTAAACCCCCAGCCCTCTTCAATAACTCACCATGTATCGCTGTACAGCCGTACCCTGCCGCAGCTCGTTGGCCGCACTAAATCTAACGACGGAGCTAGACAGGTCGTTCCCCAGGATGTAGCTTGTCGCAGCGAATGCGATCGGAGACGACAGCTCTGGATCCAGGACGTCGTACAGACCCCACGTGAAGCTGGCCGCCGGCACGTTAAGACCCTTCAGCAATGCCGTGACGTTGATGCCGCGGGGTTCGATTGCGAGGAAACCCTGGCAGGGTACGATTGCCGTACCGCCCCATGTGACGACTGCCGTACCACCATTTGGCGGCGTGGCCATCGTGGGCACTGTGACAGTTGGCCGAGCAGGCGTGGCTTCTACCGTGTTGTTGCCGCCGATGCCGCTCACAACGCAGTTGGGTTGGTTGGCGGCTCCGCAACCTGACGGTATGGTAACCGTCTTGTACTGCACGTCCCAAAAGCCGTTCCAGAACGCGGTGAGCTTCACTGTGTACGCAAAGCCCTCGATAAAATCTCCAATGGGCACCTGGATGGGGGCCAGACAGCGGAGCACAGTCGAGTGGCTGGGATTAACATTGCATGGTTGCTTTGCCACCCAATAAAGCTGCATTGACTTACTTTGAAACGCATTTATTTTAATTATAATAAATAAATTAATTAACATATAATTAAATTAATTTATGCCAGGCCAAGCTTTGTGCCAAGGCCCAGACGTAGCTGTTTAGCCCTTATGCTTACCCGCAAGGAAGGCCCCGTCTTGCTGATGGCCGGCATGCAAGGTACGGCAGCAGTCAAGGTCCAGGTAAACACCGGCTGGGCTGCGAGTTGTGTGACGGGCGCGGGGGTTGCCGTTGTGGTGGTGGGGGGTGGGGGGTGGGGGGGTGGGGGGGTGGGTGGCACTTGCAAAACAAGTTAACAAAACTCGGACCAGAACTCATTGACGGTGGTAAGTGGTTTATGAGGCAAGTGCGTTCAAATGGCAACAAAAGTCAACGAGGGACATGTGTTGATGGGGTGTTACACTGTGGGCGGCTCGTCCCGAGAAAGGACGAGCACCGGGGGCCCTATATGTGTATGTATGTAGGGGCATGAGTGTGTGTGCGTGTATGCATGTGTATCTGTGTGTGTACTGTGTAAGTGAGTATTTATTTATGTATGTATGGAAATGAGAATTTGTGTTCGTATATGTGCGTATATATGTGTATGTGTGTGGTGCTGCGATCCGTGCACATGCACACACACACACACACACACACACACACACACACACACACACACACACACACACACACACACACACACACACGCATGCCGTTGGTGAACGTACCTCCCGTCACGGCTGACTTAGCCGTTAGGTTCACAAACTGTGAGGGAGGAAGTGCGGAGAGGCGTGAGAGGAGAAAAATAGAACGGGCGGGGACGGGGGGAACCGGGGGTTAGATTGGTGGGTGACAGGGCATGGTAGCCATAGCTGCAGCGGAGGATAGTGAGGTGAGCGGATCTCTAAAATAAGCAGAAATGTGTTTAGGAAACATGATATCGTTTCACATTAATTTACATTGGCAATAAACCAGAATTATAAGAAGAAGAAAATAAAACTGCAAGCATCTACATAGAAAATGTGTAAAAAGGGGCAGGGGATGGACTTGCAAGCGTGAGTGAATGAATCAATACCGCCATCTGAGGACAGCAGTCGAAGAAGGCGCTGGAGAGGAAAGGGAGACGCTGCTTGGGCTCATTCTCCCTTGTAGGGTTTTTCACGCAAATAGCTGCACAGGAAGGGGGTTGAGATTTTGCGCACCTTATTCGTGCTGCAGTCGTTCTCGCTGGGAACCGCGACGTCGAAGGAATCGATTAACTTGGGAACGAGCCTCAGACTGGCTCCTCCAAAGTAAACCCAAGAATCCACCATCTGTTGTTGTACAATGTTGTAAAACGTCGTATAGTGCCGTACATTGGGAGGACACATCAACGAGGAAAGGGGGATAGTCAGAAGTTTAATATTATTTCTGCTCTCTGCTCCTCATTCTGCAAACCCCCGTAGCGCCATGCTCCGGTTCCGGTTTCGATTTCTTGTCCTCCGAGCCTCTATATCATACGTACGAACCGCCCCTCGCCCTCTTTTATTCCCCCCATTGTACCCTGCCACCTGACTAATCTTAAAAGGATTCCCGAATTGGAAGTTATAGAGGCTACGATAAAAAAAGGTGAATATGTTTAAAGCAGGTCATCACCGAAGGATAAATTTATTTTGAAGGGAGGCTTCTTAGCAAACGGAAGGAGTTGATGTATGCCCAAAAGCGCGAGCTAAAATGATTACTTTACACTAATTAAATAAATATTTTTTCATTAATACAAAAATCATAGCGAAGTAGAACCGATGGTAGGTAGACGTATACCAGGTATACATATAAACAAGTAACATATGTTGCGTGCTGCGCGAGTGCTTGTGCGCGTGTGTGCGTGTGTACGTGTATGTGTATATGCGTGTGTATATTTTTATGATCTGAGCAGCGACGAGGGAAATGCCGATGGTGGTACACGAATAATTTTACTGGAGCAAGCTCCGTAGTCCAGCAACGTGTTCAAGTTTTCCAATGAAACTGCAAACTTAGCTTGAATGTTTCAAGTGGGTGTGTGTCTACCTGCTCTATTATTGTCTTAGCAGGCCTGGCACTGGTCAACGGCAGTTACACAAGTTGCAAGTTACAAGTTCCGCACAAGTGCGGGGGTGTCCGTAAAAGCCATTGGGGGGGCCCACGGACGGTAAATCGTTTTTAGTGTGGTTACGTGGTGGACCATCATCGTCCCCCCTCGTCCGCTTGAGCACGAAGCGCCTTAGAGCAACGTGCCGGGTCTCCCAGACTTCCGAGAGGAACCTGGCTAGTGCCAGGGGTGGGGCCTTGGTCATAATCGTGCGCATGTTGCTATAGATGTGTCTGTGTATGTTAATGTGTCCGTTTCTGTGTATGTATATGTGCTCCACTGCTGCTCCACCTTCCCCTCTCAACTCACCTGGTCACCCATATCCGCAATGGCCAGCTTGATGTGGTACGACTGGTTCGCAACCACGTTGTACGGCTTAGTCAACAGCCGCCGTGTGAAGCCGTCAGCCTGCGAGGATGCGCAGATGCGAGCGCCGGAAGACTGCTATGAGAAAAACGTCGCCTATTACGTGCAAAATAAGGCTGAGTACGAGCGGGAATGTGCGCATGACGCAGCGGTGGGTCTACGGAGGCGAAAAGGAGGGAGAAGCCCGCAGCCTCGATCGCTGTGCCAGAAAACCGCAAGACAGCAGCCAGCATCGTGCGTGCGTGTGTGTGTGTGTGTGTGTGTGTGTGCGTGTGTGTGTGTGTGTGCGTGTGTGTGTGTGTGTGTGCGTGTGCGTGTGTGTGTGCGTGCGTGTGTGTGTGTGTATGTGTGTGTGCGTGTGTGTGCGTGTGTGTGTGCGTGCGTGTGTGTGCGTGTGTGTGTGTGTGTATGTGTGTGTGCGTGTGTGTGTGCGTGTGTGTGTATGTGTGTGTATGTGTGTGTGCGTGCGTGCGTGTGTGTGCGTGTGTATGCGTGTGTGTGTGTGTGCGTGTGTGCGTGTGTGTGTGTGTGCGTGTGCGTGTGCGTGTGTGTGTGCGTGTGTGTGCGTGTGTGTGCGTGTGTGCGTGTGTGTGTGCGTGTGTGTATGTGTGTGTATGTGTGCGTGTGTGTGTGTGTATGTGTGCGTGTGTGTGTGTGTGTGTGCGTGTGTGTGTGTGTGTGTGCGTGTGTGTGTGCGTGTGCGTGTGTGCGTGTGTGTGCGTGTGCGTGTGCGTGTGCGTGTGCGTGTGTGTGTGTGTGTGTGCGTGCGTGCGTGCGTAGAGCATTGTCTACGTCGCAAGCTCGCAATGCAAATTGAATTGCGACGAAGTGGCGTGTGGTTGTTGACTGTGTACGTCGTACAACGGTTCCACGACGAAAAGAAAACTGCAAGCACCCCGCCACACGGGCCGCACCACCACGCCGATATCACCCCCAGTCTACAGCCCTCGTCCGCCCCGCACCTCCCTCCAGGGCCCCGGGGGCATCTACGGATGGTATCGCGCCATCTCCTTCACCCCAGCCCTCGGATAGTTGCCGAACGGCACTGTACCTCCAGAGCTTGGCTGCCAGGCGTGTCTCCCACCGGGTTGCTGATCCACGTGAAGTTGTTGGCGGCCGCGTTGACGGTGTTGACCAGGATCTGTCAACGTGTTTAAAACAAGCGGTGAACAACAGCAACGCCAGCAAGAACAACGACGACTACAACAGCAAGGTAAAACAGGAGCGTATGTGAGATGATGTGTCACATACCCTTCAATACTCCTTAGGACCTGGAAGGAGCTAGAAGCAACGGAGCAACTCATATGAATGAGTGACGCACAAGGGGCCGGAAGGGGAAGCCACATGTCATGTTTTCCACATGTTTTCCTTGAGATGTCCCGCTCTTTATGTACAAATCGTACGACATTGCACGGTAAATGTACGTGATGCTATAGAAGTGCGACACGATACGAGGCACTTACCGGGACGTTGGCGTCCGGCACCAATGCCACGTTTGTGGTTCCGGAGCTGGCGTTGTCGCTGGCGCGGTTTGCAGGCGAAACAAACACGCCCAATACGTCAGCGAAGGATGAACCGACCCAGTCGTTGTACTCGTCGCTTGCGAAGATGTACGTCATGGTGAAAGCGCCGCTGGCGTTAAAGGTGACATCGAATTCAAGTACGACAGTGTCGTACAAGAGCTGACCTGGCGCTATGGCATCTAGGTCGGCGTCGCCGTCGAGGCCGCCGTCGATGACGGTAGAGGTGGAGGTGCGGGAGTTGAAGTTACAGTTGACTGTTTGAACGCTTCCAGTGCTGAGCACGAGCGAACCTGTCACGCGCACGTGTGCATGTATATATGTATTAATTATGCACGTATGTATGTATATATGTGCCGGAAACACAACGGTGCGCAGCATCAAAGTTGCACATCATTAATTATAAGCCTACTAATCATAAACTACGAAAATACGGGTATGATGCAGGCGGCGTTTACTTGTGCTGCGTGTGTGTATGGCCATGCGTGTGTAGGTTTGTGTTTTTCGCAAGTACGACAGGTCACTGCGGGACTATGAATGTACAGCAGCAGGGTTAAGTTCGCCGCTAGGGTGGGATGCATGTACTAGGGCGGCACGAGGTGGGAGAACATCTCTCAAAGGCACCATCCCTTTGAGCTATGTCTACCGAACATCTGTGCCGTCCCGTTCCCCAAAGCGACTCACCCGCCCCAGCAGCTAACACACACAACCTGCACGAAAGCCACCACCTCTCCGAGCCCTCACTTATCACCACGCCCCTACACGCCCCGGCAACACCCACAATGCCCTAACCACCACAACCCGCACAGAAAGCCCACATCAACCCCCAAAACAACCACAGCCGCAACAACAACAACAACAACGGGACCGCTGTCCGCCCCGCGCATTGTACCCCGCCGTACTCTGCCGTACCCTGAGGGAAGAACGACTGAATGGCGTGCCCAGGCGTCCACGTGGCGTTGTTCGGAATGAGGGCCCACTGTTGCTGAGGCGGCACGACGCTGCTAACGACGCTATCAACGGTGGTTTTGCAAGTGCCCGTGCTGAAAACCGCGTTGCTGGTGACCACACCGGGACCCGCGAGGAACTGCACACATACATACATGCATACGCAGGGGACGGGCAGAGGGGCTATAATCGGGTAAAGTGTGCACAGCGAATGTGTGTGTTGGGGATGTCCGTGGGAAACTGCACACAGGGGGGACAGGGTGGGTGCTTGTTAGGGAGATTTAGGGCTGCTGTTGTGTTTTGAGTGATTCTGTATTTCTAATGCTACTCCTGTACCGTAAAGCTTGCTCTAGAGAGATCGAAAGATCCCGGGGAGTGAACAAAAAGGTGTTGGTGATCGCGCAAGCAGCAGCGGCGGCGATGTGTATAGACGAATAGGAGGATGGCGAGAAGATGCATGCGGAGGAGAAGGATCAGTGACAAGCAGGAGCAGGAATGAAGCTGGAGGAGAAAATGAGGAGAAGCAGGGTCAGGGGCACGAGCAGGGGCAGGGGCAGGATGCCGCAGTCATGTGACAGATGCGCTGCTTGCAGGGGGATGGAACGGAGCCCAGAGGGGCGATACTGGGTTCCGGAAGTTGCACGTGTGCGCGCGCGCTTGTGTGTGTGCGCGTGTGCGTGTGTGTGTGTGTGTGTGTGTGTGTGTGTGTGTGTGTGTGTGTGTGTGTGTGTGTGTGTGTGTGTGTGTGTGTGCATCTATTGCTGGTGCTGTTTATTGCCTGATTTAAGCAGTCCATTGCCTCCCTATCTGTAACATCGCTGCGTCCGCATTTCAGGGCGGCCCCCCATCACTGTATCGCCTGAGATGCAAGTGCAATACAGTCCAGTGGGCAGTGGGCAGTGGGCAGTGGACAAGCTTTACACGCCGTAGTCAAGTTCCGCCCGCCTTTCTGCCTGTCAGCCAACCGTCCAGCTAGACCAGCTAGCTAGCTGGCCAGCATTCCCAGCCAGCTAGCTAGCCGACAAGCAAGCAGGCACGTGTTACGTTCCTTCTTGCAAGGAAATCCTTCCTCCATAGCGGCGTGTTTTTGAAGTCCTCCCGACCCCCCTTCACCCCCATCCCCGACAAACACACTAGGAGCACAAATCCGCCTCAAACGGCCCATTATGCAACAGCGTGGCCAGCAATGCGGCATCAGGGCCATTATAAACCTAGGCCTCGTTTCCTTGTGTGTACATGTGTGTGTGTGTGTGCGCGCGTGTGTGTTTACGCGTCCTTGTGTGTACATGTGCGTGCGTGCGTGTGTTGGCTGTGACTGTGTCCGCACGCTGCACACCCCGCTAGCTCCAAGTGCGCGTGTCGTGGTCCCTCCACATGCGCTTTCCATATCGGTTTCGCCCCGGTGTCTTGCAGCGCCGCGGCCGTAGCAGCTGTAGCCAGTGCCGGCGTCCGACAAAAGCAAAAAGAGCCTAGGCACGGCCTACCGGCGGGACACATGCTCCCAAGATGCGTAGTTAAGTTGTTACTAACTGCTTTCGTCTTGCTTTTGATTTCGCTCCAATACCTACCCGTGCTGCTGCGTCCGCAGCGGGACAGACAGTGTACGACCCACAGGTTTTCGCCTGCTGCAGCCGTCGCCGATGGCCATCCAGGCGTCCTCGTGCTGCTACTGCCGCCGTCTCCCCTTCAGCCGCTACCGCAGCGGCGACATCATCGCCGCCGCTGTTTGACTTCCGTACTGCAGCTGCACCACTGACGGTGCCATCCAAGGAAGCAGCTGATGATCCTGATGCGATATGGGCAGCAGAAGCTAGGAGGATCAGGAGGAGGCATATGGACGGCAGGAGTGCTGCGGAGAATCGTTCGGCAACTGAAAAGGTTGCTGCTGTGCCAGTTGACAAGGCCGGCGCAGCTGCAGCTACGCTGCGGCGCCGCCTCATCGCTCCGAGCGCTTTGCCCTCGCTGATGGAAGGTGCCGGTCTAACTGAATAGGATTTCCACAAGTTGGTTGCCTGGAAGCGGTTGGGGAACGGTGGGAAGTTGGCCGCGGGCCGGTCTCGGTGTACGGTCGATTGTGGAAAGGTGATGAAAATGCCATTGTTTAAACGAAAATATAAAGGTCAAGCTTTAAGATGATGATACCTGCCTTCATGGACTACTTACCTAGCGCTATTGCAGTGCTCGCTTGCCCTTGTTTGGAAAGGCTGACGAGACCTAATCTAGGAAAGATGCGATGGTTGTAATAGTTACTACAACAATAAAAGTTGTTATGTAAGCACGGTGAAAATTCACACACTGCGCCCCTAACCTGTTCAGCTACCGAGTGCAAAACTATGGTAAGCAAAAATCACAGTTGAGAATCACTATTTGAATTTATCAATTATGTAAAATGAGCTCCTGATGATGCTTTCCGATGTGATGTGATGTAGCACGTCTAGCTAAGGTGTTATATCGCTTGCTTGAAGATTTTGATTTGTAGTTTATCTTAGCCACCACAGCACAACTAATCAGCAACTAATTGTGTTTCATGGCATTGAAATCAAACTGCTATGGCGTAGGCGGTTAAGAGGCAGCATATGGTACCGGGAAGGCGGGCGTGTGGCTTACAGCCTTCCAACCTCGTGGCAATGGCACCATAACATAGACATAAACGCGTCCATACATACCATTGAGCGTTACATTGCAGTCTCTAAAATGTTAGATGCCAAAGCTATTGGCCCGCCCACCATTCGCCATTAAGGACGCCGCTTCCCAGCAGCGAACGCCATCCCCAAAGCCCACCGAGCTGCAGAACCAAGAGAATCTTGTGGCCCTTTAATTTTTCAGCGCAATCAATTTCCCAAGCGGAGACTAACCGGCTTCGAAACGCAGGCTGTGCGCCACTGTTGTATCTCGGAAGCACAACTGCTAAAAGGATGCAGCACGATGGCTACACCGCGAGCTGCAACAGACTCACGCCATGAAAAGAGCTATTATTCCTTGCCGAGCTCCCACTTACCAGCCGGCTGGCGCACAGGAGGGGATGGGTCAGTCGGTCCTCTCTCAGCGCAACCACAGCGCGCCGATTTCAACATAGCTTGCACTAAGGAGTTCATCACAGCAGCACACGCGCGCAACGCGGTATTCGGAGGGTGATCTCTGCTAGCCGGGAGCCCCTCGGGGCCCCCTAACCCGGCACGACCTCTTCTCCCGTGATCCCTGATGCAGTCAGTCTGTTTGGCCTCCAGTCCACTTATTTAGCGGGGTTCCTGAAGTGGTTTTCCGCTTCCCGTTGGACCTTTGTTGCCTGCAGCCTTTGCTAATGACCCGTTGCGGGTGCACATGTCCTTGCTGCAGCTCTTACTTGCCGGTCCTTATCCCCGTGGTTTCCCCCGCACAGCACAACACCACGAGGATCCTAAGCTGGCGCAAGCTCAGCAGGTGTCAATGGCCTACTTGACACGACGTGACGTGGGTTGGAAAAATGTTGTTGCATGGCATGGCGTGGGGGGTGGGGGTGGTGTTGGACGCATCACTCGGTTTCCTTTTTTTCCTAGGACGCGATGCGGCACGGACGTCGACATGATCACATATCAACGATCATATGGTTGCGGCAACTCCCCTCGGCACGGCGACTGCGGCTGCGGTTGCTGGAGTGGTAGGATCGCCCTGGAGGACGCACAGACAAATTGAGGAAGGGAAGCTGAGAAGGCACCACAGGGGGGTGGGGGCCGGGAAATGGAGCCCATATTGAATGGGGCCAAGAATATCCGCACCGCGTGATTTTGATGAACTAAAGTTTCCCTTTGGGAGAAGAACGATTAAGAAAAGGACGGGATAGCGATCGACGGGGCAGGCACGGGAGCATTGCTGTTAAACACAACGGCCTGAATGTGATGACGCTTTGCGGGGACCAGCAGTCCATGGGGCTTTGGTGGTAACGGCGCAAGGTAAACGCACGATAGCTAGGCGAATAGGTAACCACGCGGACGGGGTATCATGAGAACGAAATCGCACAAAGAAGTCTGATGTTAAAATATACCGCGCACTGTGTCAGCTTTGACTTACATCCATACTCTTCCTCCTCTTAGGTAGTGCTAGCTCCGAAGAGCACCACAAATAATTCTACCCGCGGTACATATTTACTCTGTATTTCTGCTTCTGAGTTCTATCCGCGCCGACTGACGTAGACTTTGACCTAGACCGACCTATAAGCAGACGTGGAGACGGACAAACAGACTGGCGAGCTCCATGTTTGGCAGGTTTTAAATCTTTTCTAAGACGCGCCCCGCTGCAAGAGCTGTAGCGGGTATGTAGCAGCCATATGCAAAGCCGCACTCATCGCGGATTTAAGGAAAAAGATTATGCCATTTTTTAAGAAGAGTTAAGTTAGTATATATGTGTGGAGCGGCCGCATGTATGCTAAGGAACATATGGAAAGGGACAGCGTGGAAAGTGCAACGAAAGAGCCGCGGTGCTGGCCCAGAAAGCAACCGCCGGAGGAGCGAAAGCAACTACCGTTTCCCCAGCGGATCAGCAGCCTGCTACAATCTGTAGTAGTGTAGTAGTAGCACGAACACAACCACACAACAAAGGACAGAACCTGGAGTTGCGGAAATTTACGTGGTGGCTGGGGAACCGAAAGGCGCAGCTGCTTGAAGCATGCTTATGGCGAACAATGGCGAGGCGGCGGCGAAGAGGCAGCGACGTGAAACGCTCCCCTCCGCCATCCAGATGGCAGAAAAGTCAGGCTGATTAACCAATCATCAACTTAGCCAGCAAAGAAGCGCAAAATAACTAAAGATCCAAATCGGAACATATCATTCCTGCGCGCGCACACACACATGTGGGGACTATAGCGGTGACGGTCCTTGGCCGTTGTTGTTGCTGCTGCTGCGGCGGCTCCTGCTGTCACCTGCGACAGACGCCGGCCGCCTGCTCTTATCGCTGCTCTCCTTCCTTTCAATAGTTTCACCTCCCTCCTTCGCTGCCCACGCAAAATGGCTTGCCAGGATATGCTCCACGCTCTGCATTGCCACCGACCTGCAGCCCATCCCCCCTTCAGGTCCACGTCGACGAGCTTCTCGTTCGCAAACCCACACATCCCCAATGGGTGCGATAACCAGGCGCTTGGGCTGGCACCGAACTCCGTATCCCCATCCCCAACCCCCAATCCACCACTACACACGCGCCGGGCATCCCCTAACATGTACATGTCCAGCAAATCCTCTGCAACAAAAACTGCACGGGGCTGCCAGTGCGAATCATCTATGCCCCCCCTAACAAACCCCCCGACCACCCGCCCCCAACTACCACGTTCCGCAAAAAAAAACAGAACTAAACTATGCCCATATGCGCCCGACCTCACTACGCCTACAGCCTACAGCGCTGCCCGCCGCAGCTGCCACACAGCCCGCCTTGCCCCCCAACCCCAAACCTTCACGAAACCTTTCCGGCCTCAGCAAGGCCTCCGATAACGCAACGTGCACAAGCTTGGATGAGCCGAGCTATCCATCAGCATCAGTAAGCTGACCAGCGATGAGCTCGGCTGAGCTGACCTCGACTGACCCGAGCTGTTCAGCTCCTCAGTGCTTGCGCATGTTAATCCCCGCGCGCATCACCTCGTCCACCAGCAGCAGCTGCCCCGCCAGTACGGGCGCCGACTGCAGGATCTGGCGCTTCACCAGGTAGTTGTCGTACACACCGGCGGTTGAAGGATCCATGGGCTCCCCGGTGCTCACATCGAACCCGACCACGTTGCCTCGCTCGTGCTCCTCCTGGGAGGGAATGGAGGGGGCAGGGGAGAGGGGCAGTGGAGAGGGGCAGTGGAGGGGCCAGGGGCGAGGGATGGATGTGTGGGTGAATGGAGGTATTGAGAGGAGGATTGAGCAGAGCTAGCCTAGGGAGGGAGGCCTCATCATGCCACGCCACCATGCCGAATCATCGCGCCAAGCATCTCAGAGCCCATCACCTCTTGGGGCCACATCTCACCAAGTTATCCAGGAGGAAACGGAGGAAGAGCGAACATCCATGATAACAAAATTGAGACACACACTGACACATAAAGACAAACACGGAAAAAAATAACGAATCCCACACATGCACCCCCATTTGCTCTAACGCCACATCCTCCTCGCGCCTAAGTTTATTACCTTGTTGTACCCCCACATCGACACACAGCGGCAGCCAGTACCCAATACCCGCACCAGCACCTCTGTGGGGGCCGTCCTCTCCCCCACAGACACACCTGCAATTTAATGATGGCCTCCTGGGCGTCATGTCCGCTGTTCTCCGCAAGTGCCTTGGCGAGCCCGCACAGCGCCTCTGCAAAGGCGTCCAGACCCAGCTTGGCGCGACCCGCCACAGTCTTGCGGACCACAGTGCGCAGGTGGTGAGCGGCGGCCACCTCGAAGGCACCCGCACCTGCGAGGGTATTACCGAGTATGTGACGACGAATGCGCGAGTGGGTGAAGGGGTCCGTTACTGAACTGCGCCGCGAGCGTGAAAGTTGGCGAGGACGGGCGGTAACCGGGAGTGAGTTCGGTGTTAGCTCAGTGGGAGCTGCCGTGCTGAGAGTTGGAAGGGAGGGTACCCTGCTGGTCCTGTACGACATGGCGACGTAGCAAAATAAGGCCAGCATCAAACACACCAAACACGCGAAGAGTGGTGAGGACGAAAAGTCGCTGGCGAAATGTTACCTGTCACACGTCTGTCTGTCTGTCGGTTTTCGACGCGAAAGGCCAATACCACAAGGACCCGACGACAGCCCGGAGCCGACCTCACACCATCACATGCCCCACCTGACACACACACACTCACTCACCGGGAATGACGGCCCCGTCGTCGATTCCGTTCTTCACGGCCCGCAGCCCGTCCCGTACCGCGTCCTTGATCTGTGGGCGCGTGGGGAGGGCGGCGGGCGAGGGGTAAGTTGGAGAGGATGAAAACTCGCTCAGGAGCCCGCCAGGATGAACGGTACGATTCGAGCAGTCGAGAGGGTCAGCCATGTGCACTGGAACAACAAAACGAGAACCAGCGTGCGCGTGTGTAGGGAGCACTAGTCCTGTACGCACCTACCTACCTATCCATCTACCTACCTACATACCCATTGACACTACCTGTAATCAAACGTTACGTTACGTTCCTCAATTCCGCCTGCACATTCCCCATGCATGCATGTAAACATATATACATACATACCTGCGCAATGACGTGGTCCGAGGGGCCCTTGATCAGGATGGTGCACGAGTGCGGGTTCTTGACGCCCTCCACGAACGTGTACTTCTCCTCGCCGAGCACGTGCTCGTATACCTCGTCCGCATGACCCAGGCACTCGGAGCACAGCTCCTCAACCTGGGGCGGAGGGAAACCACCATTGGCGGGGCGCCATGAAAGGGGGGTGGTGGAAGTGGAGGAGGGAAAACAAAACAGTTCATGCAATGGCCGGAAAAACCCTAAGTTGCCCTTTAGACAGCGCCAAGCACAAGGCCACAGGCCGGACTTGCAAGTCAGACGCGGCACGCACGGCCACGCACCCACCTCTCCGGCAGTCACGTAGGTCCTCATCGATCCCCACCCCTACTCATCCCCCTTTCGCCTCCCTTACCGAGTTGATTGAGAAGCCCCCGCACGCCAGTTGGATTCGCTCCATGTTGCGCTTCTTGGCCCGGCGCAGCGCAATGACTCCCTCCTTGGCCAACATGTCCAGAGAGATGGGGTCAATGCCCTTCTGGTTGATCACCACGAAGCCCTCGTCGCCCGTGCAAACCTAAACGGGGCGGGCGGGGGGTTATACGATTGCAGTAAAGCCAAGTATGTAACCAGACGGGGTGGTGGATGGGGTGAGCGCGATGTTCTCCATGTAAGACGTGGACCAGGGAAGGCAAACGGGATGGGGGGGGGCGGAATCATGTGTGCAAAAGGAGCGAAGGGTCAGTTCGTTCAGAAACACGGAGTTCAGAAACATGGAAGGTCAAGCGCATATTGCCGGGGCTGCGGTAAGCAGTAGTAAGGTGGTAGGAAAGGAAATTGAGAAACATAGAAACAAACTCCCTACCTATCAAGTGCTATCCCATCACCCCACCATCACCTCACAGAAAAAACAGGACGAGCGCGCTTTCCCCCATCACAACAAGATGGTGGCGAGCTTCCTCCAACCTTTTCTCCCTCCCTACTTCCCTCCCCAACACTCATAAACACACCAGCTTATTGACCGTCCACGAGCATCAGCCCCTCACCCACAACCCCCCCACACCGAAGTAGACGTCGATAGCTCCTGTTCCTCTGCACTTCACCTAGAATTTCCCCCCGCCCTCCCTCCCATTCCTCCCATTTCCCGCCCATTCCCGCCCCCACCTGCTTCTTCAGCTCCAGGATTTTCCGGACGCGCTCGTCCGTGTAGGCGCGCTCCGCGGCAACCAGCTTCTCACGCTATAGTTCCGGAGATCACACACACACACACATACACATACACACATACAGACGCAGATTTCAGTTGAAGTTGAAGTTGCTACATGGCATTTAGAAAATTTAGTAAATGGGTTGGGAATAACCATTTCCTTGGGGTCGTCGTCAGGTGCTGGGGGGAGTAAGGAGAAAGCTACACAGGGAAGAAGAAGTGGAAGAGAGCCACCACAGAGGAGTTGACTGGGCAGCGGGCAAGGCAGCCAGCCAGACAAGCAGGAGGAGAGTCTGAGCAACTGCCATCTAACACCACTGGCATCCACACACACGCATATCTTTACAGGTTGAGCACAACCTTTCATGGCCACATCGCATGGGGGCCCTAAAATTGCAAGCAATACACATACATACATACAATAATCTCCCGCCCGTACCTGCTCAGCGGAACTGTAGAAAAAGCCCGAGTTGACCTCCGACTTCTCGTACTCGAGACTGTCGTACGACAACCCAAGACAAGGGCAGAAGGGATGAGTTTAGTTGGGAGCCACAAAGGCAAACACAAACACGCATCCTCGGAAGGCCGAAGGGTGACTCAAAATAGGACAGTCCCAAGGAAAGGTAGTACACTCTCTGTACTGCGCTTTGTACTGCATTTTCTTCGCCTGATAGATGTTGCCCTCAACATGCGCTTAGGCATATCACATGCTCTTTCCCCCCTCCCATAATTCGCCCTCCCTGCACAAAAAAGCCCTCCTCTCCTAATGCCCCTCTCACCCGCTCCGAAACCCTCCTCCATCCCTCTCCCTTTTCCTCCCTCCCTTTTCCCGTGAAAACCAAGCCACTCCAGACAGCGCTGACGGCTGATCCAGGTCGAACCCCAAGGGCCTCGACAACTATTTCGGTGGCCACACGTAACCTAGAACCCCCTTTTCAATCTCCCCTCCAAGACTTCTTTCACTCAAGAGACCTAGGCCCCCACATCCCCATCTTCCCCCTTGGCAGCTTTTCTCTTACTCCCCACTAACCCCCCTTTCCTAACCCAGTGGCCCCACCACCAACCTCTCCCTCTCTTCACTCTCTCTGCGCATGGTTTGCATATTAATGTTAATCTGAGCCGCGGACAGGAGCTGACTCCCTTTCGATGTCTTTGGGTCTATGTCAGTGTGTCGTGCTTGCCATACCTGATGTTGCACGACAGAATGAAGCACTTTTCCAGCCGTTTGGGCATGTCGGGGTGGCGAGATCCGTGGTCTAGGACCAGCCCACGAACCAGCCGAGTGTCACTGTCCAGCTTGTGCCGCATGTGCATCACCTCAACCTGGGGCGTGGGACGGCTTGGCACCGTTACGAGGTGAAACGCGACTAACGCGACTTAAATTAAAAAAATGCTTTGGTGATGATGATGGTGGTGGTGATATTGCTGTCCGCGACTCAACCCTTCTTCCCCAAAACCGCCTCAGATGTCCGCACTCAATTCTTTACTTTACCACATCATCGCATGACTCCAACCCATCGTTCCTCCTCAAGAATTTTCCAGTAATATTCCAGTAATGCCAAGAAGCATCAGGCCCCCGCGCGCACCATGAACAGGTCGATGGGTTGTCCTGGCCGCCGAACCGTCAGCACCGCGTCTGTCACTATGTCTGTCAGCTTGTCCGCCAGCGGCTCCGCCAGCTTGGTGCGCAGGGAGGTGCGAGCCAGGCACAGAAGCGTCTCACGATCCACAGAGGAGCCAGCAGCCGCAGCTGCTGCGTCAGCTGTGGTTTTGGAGGAGCTGGTTTCCTCTGTCGGCACAGAGGCGGTGGTGGTTGAGGGCAGTGGCTGCTTAAAGGTATCCAAGAACTCCAGGGTAGCCTTACGCGCTGTCTCAAAGCCCTGTTCAGACAGGCGACGCACACCAAAAGCACACACACACACAGTCTCAATGCCTTGTGAAAGGAATGCACCTGTCGAGAAAAAACAACCGCCACTTTTATAGTGGATAGACCGTGTGCCGTTACCAACATTACATGCGCTATGCCACGTTTACAGAAGATCTCTTTTCGTGTCCATAACAACCTCACTAGGGGTCCTCACTAGCAGGACCTCCGTATGCCCTCCAAGAGTACGACGTTGAGTAATGCCGTTAGCTAGGCCTGTCTGGACTTTTCACTGCGACTAGCGTGGACAGAGACCAAGACGTCGGTTCCCCCTTCCCAAAATGTGCAGGTTGCTGTCCGCTGCTGTCCAAAGGGCCCCCTCTATTAAAGACAGGGTCTCTGTCGGCCTCCTTCCTCACCAACTACCCGTTCCCTTCCCGCCAACCAGCCGTCCTCAAAAACCCAAACCCAATACCCAACCCCTCTTCCCGGGAGGGCCCTCCGGGATCACAATCTCGCGGAAGCGCCGTCCATAACTTCTGTTACTTATATCCTTCAGCTTCCTTCCCTTCCCGTCACCATGTGGCCCGCCGCCCAGCTCGCCACCCACCTCCACAAGCACTCGCGGGTGCGTCCCCTCAGACAGGTACCTTTCCGCTTGCTTCATGAGCTCGCCAATGAGCAGCACGATGGAGGTGGTGCCGTCGCCCGTGATGTCATCCTGGGCCACCGCGGCGCGCGCGATCATGACCGCGGTAGGGTTCTGGATTTGCATCTGGGTGGGAGTGGCGAGGACGGTGACGGGTTCGGAAAAGCGTCGAAGAGTGGAGCAGGAGGGGGAAGACAAACCACAGACAATTGATGCTGATACCAGAGATAGACGGATACTCCAGCAGTTGGAAAAGAGATGGAGATATTACACGTAGTATGGAGGAGACCATGGAAACGGCGGGTGCCCGGGAAGCCGTAAAAAATAGCAGTGGGCAAGGGTGCAGTGGGGACGCCTGGAGCAGCAAGGGCCGTTGCCCCGAGGTTAATATGGGGACCGGGGTAGGCGCGGGAAGGAGGAGAGACAGGACGATAGGTTAGCATCATTCTATATTGGGAATGGCATGGTCGCGCGGGACCGGCAGGGTCGAAGGGAGTGCATACGGGTGCTGCGGTCTATGGAAAGGGGGTCACGGCATTCCGGAAGGAGACCAATAGGGCTGGCCATGGCCAAAGGCGAACGTGAGCGAGGAGCACGACCGCTACACTACGGAGGTCCTGCATGCGCGACTCGGGCAGCACAGCGTGGGAACTGCTATTTGGGCGCGCACCTCTCGGAGCAACACGTTGCCGTCCTTCGTCAGCTTAATGTCACCTGCTCCGCTAACAAGCATTTTTATGGTGCCCTTTGGTCCGTAATTGCTCCGCATGACGTCCATGAGGCCTTTTGCCGCATTAATATTCATGAAGAGCGCGGCGGCCCGGTTCATGACCTCCGCATTCGCGTTTAATGTCTTTACTGATGACATTTTCAGTTACGAACTCAAGGCCTGCTGCGGTGTCTTATGACGTCTTCCACCCGCTGCCCACGATCTTGGAATTCGTTCGAAGAGTTCAGTGGACTAAACTTACTAATGTGATCGGGGCAACCGCAACAGTTCGTCGTGCAAGAATTACATTGATCCTTAGCACAGGGTGGAGTGTCCGGAAGGCGCCAAAGAATGTTGCCGTGATGCCGTATATTATACCAACCCTATAACTTTGCCCATCAGCATTCTTCGCGCCTGTTGCTATCGTAAGTTTTGTGCAGGAGAGCTTTGGGATAACGCGGATATCCCTGCCGCTAACAGCTGGGACTTTCTTAGATGCTGGCCTCATCCCGGAGTACCACTTACTGGGGAAAGAATTTCAATAGAGAAAACTCTGACCACGTAAACAGCGTTCAGCGGCCCCGGCAGGCGTTGCCGCATGCGTCCTTTACACCCGGTAAGACGACGAACGCCGCTACCTGGAGGCAACGCCGTCCCCAAGAACACAACCTGGCGGTAATTGAATGATGAACTCTTTGTGCTTGGCGATGTGGCGTTTTTAAACCAACCGGCGCCATAATGGCACCGGAAAGGAGGTTCCCTGACAGCCTGGGGTGACCCGGATGCGGAACATAAAGGCAAATCTGAGTACGCACACTGGGAACCTGGTCAGACACAAATGGAGGAAACCATCCCACACACCTAGTGACCGGTCCGTGGGTCTGTTGCGCATTCAAACAAAACTAGGACCTTCTTTTGGACAAGGCTTCCTTGGTCTTCTCCTTAAACCATTTGGCGCTGCTAATCTGACTCCTATGTCTTTCCTAACGGCCGGCAGGCTGACCCTCGTCCAGTCTCCAGCCTTCCAGCAATCGTTTAGAAGCCGCAGCCGTGCACGAAATGTGTAGCCGTCCTTCAGACCCCGAACGAGCGATGTGCCGACTAGTAGCCACCTCGTTGCAAGTTACAGATATCGCAGCTCTAATCGGTCTCAGTCCATGATAACAACAATGCCACTGGCGACACCTAGAAATTGCGGGTAATTGAAGTTGAAGGCTGCCGACCCATGTGACAGCCTTTCACTACCTGAAGGAAAAAACTGTCAGGGAGACATGTCAAGAGTCTGGTTGTAGCGCTTGCGTGGGGACTGAAGATTGGTCGATGGTCAGCCACCATGCAGCCTGGCACCTGCGAGCCAAGAAACGCTCCTCGGGTGGCGCGGGTATTCGACTGGGCATTGTCGATTACAAGCAACTGCCTTGGGATTGAGGACATAGATGAATCGGCATTGTGCAGGTCCAGAAAGGTGTTTCACGAGCCCCGGCGTTGAAAGGAAGGGGGGACACACTGCGGAGGCACCCGTCAATAGGGTTCGGGCGACGAAAAGGGTTCCGCTCGTCGGCAGCAGTCTGGCTGGCTGTATGTTGCTCCACAAAGAATTGCACACGGGTACTTAGGCGCACGTTAGGCAGGCAAAACAACAATCGCGTGAGGTACGTCGCAACCTGTCACCATGTCCCATGAAAATCCCAAGGACAACTCTCAAGGGATCTGGAATTTTAATTATTGCATCCATTCATACAGTTCCTCTTACGGTTACTTCTTTTTGATTGGAAAAAAGTTTGCTTGCGTCCTCTAACTAACTGGACAAATTGTGACGTTCCATACGTCTCAATACGATAGGACGACTGTCTTATGCCGCCTAGCAAAAGAAATCGATGCCAGTATTTCAAATCCTTGCTGATATGGACCTTTTAGGACTTAGGTTTCGCGAATTTATAACTGGCGTGTCTGGCCCGCCTGATACCAAATTGCGCCTGTCCTGAGCTTGTGAGTGGTACAAGAGGACTGGGCTTTGTTTTTTAACCGGTATCTATAAGACCATGGCAGGCGGTCAAAGGCAAGGGTGAAACTTGTCAACCTTCTTCGCAAAATCCCCACGCATCGCTGATGCGGTTCACACTCACTGCAAATTATGGGGCTCGCCTTTCACCATCCATAGGGATTAATTCACAGCCCCACGGCAGCAAATAGTACCGACGTCTGACGTCGCACTGATTCTGATGGCGGCTAGGGCTTCTTCCTTTCAGTGACAGAATGCCTGGATTAATGCATGAATTGTTAAGAATACCTAGCTGAAAGGGCAACATCAGGACGGGGCCCGCTCGCGCTCTGCAAGGGTGACCAACTGGCAGTGGGAGTTGAAACTCCATTTTGAGAGGGCTCCAACCTACAATTGCCGCCTTCAATTGGCTGTTATTGGGGGACACCATCCAAGGTGCTCAGTGCTGCTTTTGGCAGCACTAGCCTTCGCTTGGTCGCGCGCACTCGATCGCCGCCTGTCGTGACCTACTTTTGGACTTTCAGAAGCCCCTTCCACCAGCAACCACATCCATTTCGCACAGTGGATTGCTTCACGCGCAACTTGCTCGACAGAGACTGTAACATGTTGGCCAGCGGTACTCCGATGCCGCCCCTGCCGCCGCCTGCTTCCATGGCTGCAGCGGCAGCCGCCGCGGCAGCCGCGGCCGCAGCCGCAGCCGCCGCGGCATCCGGTGCGCCATCCCCACCCGTCCCACCGTCAACCAGTCCTGACCCAGCCACCACTACAGCAGCCTCTGCGCCTGCTTCCGTCTCCATGGCTGTGCCCTCGTCCACGTTTCCTATCCCTGCGGCATCCCCCTCGCCACTGCTTGCTTCAGCATCCACTCAGGCAGCAACAATCGCGACTGCAGCCGCAGCGGGCATGCAAGCTTCCAACGGCAGCAGCGGTAGCGGTGCCGCAGCCGCCGCGGCTGTTGCCGCTGCGGCCTTCTCGGGCGCCAACGGCAGCAACGGCGGCAGCGGCAGCGGCGGCGGCGGCGGTCGCAAAGTGTCCACCAGCGACATTCAGCTGGTTCAGACTCTAATCGAGCGCTGCATGCAGATGTACATGCCGCTGAAGGAGGTCGTGAGCACACTTCAGACGCAGGCGAAGATCGAACCGGGGTTCACGCAGCTCGTATGGCAGAAACTGGAAGAGCAGGTACGTTGGTGATGACGTCATCTGGGGCAGTGTGTAAGTATGTATGTATGCATGTGATATGTATATGCATGTATGTATGTATTTCGGGGCGAGAATCCTTGGCCCGGCGGCGTGGCGTGACATGAGAAAAACCCAAGCAACACACAATCGGGCAAAAGAGAAGTCCACACAGCCTAGCCGCGTTCACGTCTTCTTACAAGTTCTTACAAGTTACACAACAACACCAGTAATAGTAATAGTTAGTAATATTAATGTATTAATGTATTTTTGCGCAACATTGTGTTTTGTAAGGCTAGTCTTTTTGTTCTGGTGTCCCTTTGGTTGGTTGGTTCTTCGTTAACTTTGTTTCTTCTTGGCCGCGGCAACTGCAACGGTTCCAGAACGCCGAGTTCTTCAAGGCATACTACCTGCGCCTCAAGATAAAGGACCAGATCGTGATGTTCAACTACCTTCTGGAGCAGCAGTTCAACATGGTTTCGAAGCTGCAGATGAGCTGGCTGCAGGCGCTGCCTATGATGCAGCCAGGTATGGCGGCTGCCGCGGCAGCGGCAGCTGCAGCTGCGCGGCCGCAGGGCATGGCGCCGGCGATGATGCCGGGCACCGCTACCGCTGGCGCTGCGGCAGCCGCCGCCACGGCTGGCGCGGCGCCACCCACTGGCGCGATGCTCGCGGCGACGCCACAACTGCCGTCAGCTGGCATGGTGCCGGGATTGGTGCCGCCGAGCTTACCTGGCCTGCCAGGAGCGAACCCGTTCAATTTTGCCTTGGGAGCGGCTCCAGGCACGATGATGATGTCGTCGCCGGCGGCGGCGGCTGCTGCCGCTGCGGCGGCGGCGTCAATGCAGCCCGGTATGGCTGCAATGGCCGCCGTCGCAGCGGCCGGGCAGGCTGCCAGCATGGCGGGCCAGGCGGCGGCAGTGGCGGGATTCGGGGCCCCGGCAGCACCGCTAGGTCTAGCGCCGGGGCTTGGCGGCATCGGAATGCCTCCGCTGATGCAGACGGTGGCGGCGGCAGCGGTGCAACCGCAGGTCGCGCCGCCATTTGCTGGACAGCAAACGGCCCCGCACCAGCAACAGCAGCCGACGGCGGCAGCGGGTGCCGGCAGCCAGCCTGGAGATAGTTTCGGTGCCGGCGGCGCAGCAGCCGACGGCGGAATGATGGCCGCCCAGCTGGCGGCGATGCAGATGGCCTCGTTGATGGACATACAGCAACCGCCGCCGCAGCAGCAGCCGCAGCAGCAGACGGACGGGTCGCAGCAGCAGCAAGATCAGCAGCAACATGCGACAGCCGGGGCGGCGGCAGCGGCAACGTCGGCTGTTGCCGCCGTCGCCGCGGCAGCGGCGGCGGGTGCGGGTACCGGCACGGGCGGCTTCCCTGGTACGGCAGACCTGATGGCTCTGTCGGACAGCGCCTTGGATGGAGCCAGCCTGGGCGACCTGGGATTGCTTGCGGGTACGTAAGGCCCCTGAGGAGAAATCCCTGAACCGTTGAACAAGCACATGTGTTGGAAATATGATAATGGAAAAGAACTAGAAATCTGGTTTTTTTAAAGTGTCCAGGCCTTTCCTTTTCCTCCCCTAGGTAGACCGTGGCTCACACTCCTGACCCCGGGTGCACCGGGAAGGCTACTACGATTTCCTGCCCTTACCTGCCCCTCCGGGGGCCGCTTCTGAAAGCCTCGCTTCCTCTCCTGTCATTGTTTTTGTTGTTGTTATTATTATATTGCTGTAGTTGCTGACGCCCTGTCCTTCCATTTCCGTTTTCTGCTTCATCCCATCGCGGTCTCGTGCTGACCCGGTATTTCCCAACGCCATCCCATCCCATCCCCGGTTGATACTTTGGACGTGTCGGCAGCGGACTAATTGTCGTAACATGTGATGAATCACACCCCCCCACGGCCAACCCCCCGCGTTGCTCCTCCCCTACACACGCACCGCACACAAAAAAATCACAAACACCTGCACGCACGTGCACGTGTGTGTTTTGCCTCTTTAGGCTCGGACCACGACTTGATGCAAAGCCTAGGATTCAACACCGCATATGTCACGGGGGCTGGCGGAGGCGGAGGCAGCGGCGGGAGCTTCCATTTGAATCTGAACATGACCGGCATGGACGGCACCACCGCCGCCACCGCCTCTGTGAATGCAGCCGCCGCCGCGGCGGCGGGGGCGGGGGCAACAGCGGCGGACCCTGCTGCTGCTGCCGCCGGCGGCGGCGCAGCCGCCGCCGCCGCCGGCATTACCTCGGCGGCGGCGTCGAATGGCGACCTGACGAATCTCGACCTTGCGAAGAATTTTTCTTTCTCAGATTTGAGTACGATGGGCCTGGGCGTGGGCATGGGCCCTATGGGTTTTGGGGATCTGGGGGCTAACCCGGGTGACGGTGACCCTATGCTATTAGGTGCCGACGGTGGCGATGGTGTCGGTGACGCCGGCGACGGCGGTGTCGGCGGTCTGATGGGCTCCGCTCTTGTGGACTTCCTGGACATGCAGGAGTCCCACATACGTCTCTGAGCCTGTCAGCTTGTGTGTGTGTATGTATGTGTGTGTAAGGGGAGCGCGGTGTCTTTAGCCTTTGCGGGCTCCCGGTCCTATGAACGTTGCCTTTCTCACGTTATAAAAGTACAGTACGACATGCAGTACGGAGCCATGTTTGTACGGCACGGATGACAGGATGTGGCGCTCTTGTACTGCAGGTTAAGGATTATATTGGAATTTGTGACACGGCTGAAAGGCAGCGTGCAGCGCTTTGGATTTTGGGGCAGTGGGTGTGGGAGTGGGAGGGGAGGGGAGGGGAGATGTTGGTTTTCTTTGTCTTTTTGTCTTGTGACAAAAAGCGAAACGCGAAAGAAATGGAGTGAGCTTCCCCCGGTGAGCAATTTTGAACTGAAGGGATACAGCTGTGTTATTGTCGTGTGAAGGACTTTCTGGGCGGGCCAACCCCAACCCCCCTTTGTGTGTGGGGGGGAGGCGGATATCGAGTTGTACTTTTGGCTGGCTGGCTGTGCCACATATTGCGTTGCGGACTCGGATTGGGTTGTGCAGAGGCGCGCGCGTGCGCACGGAATTCCCCTCCTCCCCTCCGCCTTCCCCCCTCCTCCTCCTCCTCCTCCTCACCTTCCTCCCCCTCCTCCTCCCCCTCCTCCTACGTCTGGTACACTCTTGCCCTGGCAGCAGCTTCACTCGTTTGTGGTTCGTCTTTCCCCCCTTCCTCCCCCTCCTCCCCCTCCTCACCTTCCACCCCCCCAGGTGTTCCCTTGAACACCACACAGGTACACAATGCATACAATCACACACAATATATATATATATATCGCATAAACGTGAGGGGCCCTATCGCCGTCCCATCGCAAACTTCACGGGGACGTTACTTTCCGCTCACGGACGGACCGATGGACACGGACCGGCAAGCAGACTATTGTTCTGGCGGGCACCGGATGGTGAGCCCCAGGTCTTCGCATCCTCCTCCGCCTCCGCCTCTTTTCCCTCCGGTTTTTTCGCTGGCAGACACACAAACATAAAATAATATAATATATTACACATATATTATACTTAACTCGCACAGGTACACAGCAGTTGTTGCCGCCGCTCTCCACCGGCAGCTGATGCACGGGGGGGTTGAGGTGTTGCAGCGGACTGGGCCGCCTCCGCCAGAGCCCGGACAGCAGCCCATCGCCGCTCGTGCCTTGGGGCGGGTGGGGTGCCGGCGGCCCCGAGCTGAACTGGTTCCCTCTCATTGCCAGGCTCGGCACCGTGCCGTACCACAGAAACCCCCCGATCGTTTTTTGGGTTTTCCATCGTCCTCGTGGGTGGGGTGATGTGGCGGTGTGTTACTTGATGTGGATGTGGTGGGTAGCTGTGTAGGTGGTGTGGATCTGCAGAACGTTTCAACGAAGGAGAGGAGGAGGGGGAGGTGGAGGAGGAGGTGGAGGAGAGCAGCAAAGCGCCGGGGTGGCACATTGAGTTGGTGATGTGCACGTGATGGCGCGTATAAAGCTTTTTTTTGTTGGCGGTTTCCTTTTGGTCTGTGGTTCTGTGTCCTCGAGGGAAGTGTGCTGGGGCCGCCGCCACTGCCGCCACTGCCGCCACTGCCTCTCCCCGGCTCTTCCTCGGCGAAATCAAAGTAGGGTCATGAAAGAGGTGTCATATTATTAGTACATTTACATTAACTCGATGACATTTTTCGCATTCGTTTCGCATTCTGTGACAAAGCAACGCACCATGTGTGCTGGTCCGGTTTTGCGCTCTTTATGATGGGTTTTGCATTACGTATGTATGTATGTATGTACGTACGTAATGCTTATTGTGAAGTGTGTACGGTGGTTACGACCACACGGCTTACTGCGACGGCCAGTCTAATGGCATATCTAATGGAATTACCTGTGTGCATGTGTATGTATGTATGTACGTATGTATGTATGTGTGTTACACCACCTGGGGCTGTGTTCCCCTACCTACCAAGGAAGGCAGGTGGTATCCTCTGTGGTGGCGGTGGTGATCATAGCTGTCCGGGGGTCACCGCTGCAATCGCTACTCTGGCTGGCTGGCTGGTTGGCTGGTTGGCTGGCTGGCTGGCTGGCTGGCTGGCTGGCTGGTTGGCTGGTTGGCTGGTTGGTTGGCTGGTTGGTTGGCTGGTTGGGCGGAAGAAGAAAAAGACGAAGGACGCGCGGTGGGCTGCCATAACCGGCTCTTGCTTACAGCTATGTGGGGGGTGTGTGCGTGTCTCTTGTGTATCTTTCTGTTTGCTAGTGTAAGAGTGTGCGTGTCTGTGTATGCTATATCTGGGGGTTAGCACGACATTAGCCCAAACGAGGTGGCCTTGATGCCATGTCATGTGGCTGTAGATGTGTTTGCTTGCCGCAGGAGGTGGGGCTGTACGACTTTTGCAAGGCGAGGTCGCCATGAGCTGCAGCTGTGAGGAATGGTGGGGACTTGGTGGATTCTTAATTGGTTGGCGTTGGCGCGAGGGGGGGAAGCGGTGTTTGCTGATGTCGGAGCAAAGCGGGCGAGGGGGGAAGAAGAAGCTGCCGTGGCCCTCGTGCCGTGTATTGAGCTGATGCCCCAGAAGGCACCAGCCCGTCCTCCCTTCCCCTCTTCTCCCCCTATTTCTATGGTTGATTCGCACCTCTCCCCACGGCGACGTGTCCTGTTAGGGCTCAAGCTGCCGCACACAAGTGCTGATGAGGCGAAGAAGTCTTTCCCGCGGTTGAAAAAGGCCCGCGGCTGAATAGAAATAGAAACGGGGTACATCTCCCGCATGGCGTAGCAGGGCTTAAAAAGCGAAGGGTTGTTGGGAGGAGGATCTAAAGGCTAGGGTGCTGTGCTTTAGTTGTACAGCGGAATACGGCACGGAGATGGCCGTTGGCTTATGTTCTTTTGGTCGTGGCAGTAGTTTCCGTACTCCCATGTTGGAAGGACTGCAGGTGTTTCCGTACATGCATGGCAGGGGCCCTTTCTTCCCCTGAAGGCCGGTAATACCCGCTAGGGTGTCATCCCCCTTTGGCTGTCTCCTTGGGGCCTGTCTCCTTCATCCGCTTCAGGTTCCCGGGGAACCGGAGGGGGCACGGGACAGCCACGATTAGGGGAGTTACCGTGTCGCCTTCGGTTTCCCCGAAGGGGGGAAGCCAAGTTAAAAGGGATGGCACCCTAGGCGATGGAGTGTTTCCATATATATTACTTTAGGGAAAACATTCTTCATCGACAATGGGGGAGGGGCCGCTGCTTTGCGGCAACAAACACCGAAAAAGATGATGGGGGGTGCATGTGCTCTCTGTTGCTAGGGAGAGGAGCGGAGGAGGGGTTCTCGGCCAGGGGCAGTGCATATGGTACGGTGGTGTGTTTTCTTGGGGCACTTACTTTGGCTTCGACCTAAATAGCGGTGTTGGAGTGTGTTGCATAAACATATTTTCGTTGCGTTCGGGCACCACCTGGCTATTGCGTCCATTGCTGTCACCTTCGTGCGGCGGCAGTCGCTACGATGACCAACCTGGTGATGAGCTGCGGCGAGACACGTTTTTGGGAGTCTCACAGACATAGCATTTCCCTGTGTTTCGCCGTGAGAGATGGCCGTGGGCATGTGTGTGTATATGTGTGTGTTACATGGTCGTGGGATGCGTTCCCCGTGCCTGCAAACCGCCCTAATACGAGCCGAGGGCTCAAGGGCTGCCAGATTGCCAATAAGCACCGTCCTACCTCGCACTTTAAACAAAGCAAGTGATAAAGGATGCTAACGACCAAAGGGAACGGTAGAGTTGCGGTGGGACCACATACGTTCCAGCATCCTTGCCAGACGTTCAGGTTCCCACTTCATAGCGTCGTCCTTCATATGCTCGAAGCGTGGGAAATCCAACCAGGTCTGATTTTGTCGTACACCGGACAGTCCAGTAAATTGTGCTTCTCATCCTCGATATGGCTATCAGCGCCGCAGCAGGGACATACTCGCTCCTCCCTAGGTATATAACCCTGTCCCTTAAGCGCTCTGTTAGCCGCCAATGCCCAACATCAAAGCCTAAACTGCATAAGCTTGCGATTCGCTGAACGCGGGATAAACATTGTGATGTGCGGGAGCACCTCCTTCCTGCCCGCTTGCTCGGCCGCCAGGCCCATCCCTTGCTTTTACTTCGCCATGTGAATTCCTTGTTACTTGCCGTCTGACGGGTACACGTCTGGCTGGACATCTAGACGCGTATGCTTTCAGCCACTCACCAGTCGGTCCTTGCACTCCAACACCACGCCCTTCTGGCAATGGCCTGTTCATCAGCCATTCCACTTGTTCGTCTACCTCGTGTAGCCCTGGCGGGCCCTCTTTCCATACGTCGTACACTAAAAAACTTAGAAAACGGAGGAGCAGTGCCCCCCATCCGGCCCCTTCGGGGTTGAAGATGGATTCTAGGCCTTGGTGTGCCACAGACCCACGCTGTAAACGGACACGGTTCCAAAACTTCACAATCTGCTTGAAAACGTGGTTGTGCAGGGGTAGCTGCGACAATTCGGCGAACAACAGGCGATATGTTTGTCTGGAGCTCACACAATTTGTCGCATGAACGATATCTGAAGCTGCACTGCTCTGTCCTTTAGGCATGCCTCGAAGGGCCCCTCTGCAAGGTTACTCGCATCACTCCGCCTCCTGAGCCTGTCCAAGACTTCAGCTAGCATAAACGGCCCCCACGCTTGACAACCATACAACAGTATTGCTGGTACCTGCGTATCGAAACACCTCATCCTCACATCTGGGGCGAACAACTTTGGCTTATCCAATTTTGTACTCAACGCGAACATAGCTGCTCTAGCTGTGTCGTACAACTGCTATGTCGTACAACGGCAGGCCCCAAACGGCCGTTCTGGCCCATACACTAGCCCCAGATATCGTGCACTATCCTTAGGGCATTTGTGACATGACGCCGCCCGGGGGCCGGGGAGGACGGTGGAGGCCTTCAGCATGAGGGCTACCAATGTCTCAATATGCGTGCTTGGAAAAAGCCTGAAGGCCCCCACCTATGTGGGCCCGGAGGCCGGAGTTATCCATGGCGTACTTTATACGCTGATTCCTGTTGTCGACACTGCGATCTAGGATGTGGCTCGATTCATCCATGACATGTGTGCAGGCAGTGTTGCATTCCAGCCCTTGCACTTGCGTGTGCTCATAACGGGTCTGAATTGAACAACAAAGTCTGAAGTCGGATGGGGTGAATGGATTAGGGTGCCCCTCTAGCAGGGGAGAGCAGGGAATTGCCTCGGGAAGGAGGCCACTGGTGAAGCTTAACCACCCTGTAACAACATCAACATCAACAAAGGACACCCGAGGGACCTAAGGGCCTGAAGACGAGGCCGTTCCCACTGCCACAGCTTTCACATCGAGCGCCACCTTATTATTGTGATTCCTTATGGCCCCGAAGCGGCCACTGCTGGGCTTTGTCGCCGACGCTGCCACTGCTGATGCTGCCGTCAGCTGATCGTGCACGGCATTTGTATTCTGTCCACAGTAGTTACTCCCCCAGGTCGTTCAGTCGCTACCCAGTAGTAGTGCGTGTACACTCACCGAAAAGGGAGTTCACTGCTTCGTAAGCCCGCTAAGCCATGCTTCTTCCTGATACCACTCAGTGTATCACTTGCTGGGTAAGGTACCGAGAAATCCTTTTAAATGCGGCATAGCTTGCCTCAAGCTTCTTCTTGGCATCCTCACTGGTCCCCAGCTGCGACCTCACGCCGTATACCCGCCACTCGAGTGCTCAAGGGCAACCTCGTAATCACTGTGAAGCTTAGTCAACCGTGCTGCGGCACATGCACACATGAGCATGAGCATGCATATGGCCATCCGCACCTTCGCAGGAACCCCATCACGGAGCCCTTCTGTGTTCTCCTACCTGAATTAAACACGGGAACGCCAAACGCTCCATTTGTGGGGCTGGACCAGTAGCACATCGGCTCCCATAGCACCGCAGCACATCTCACACACAGCAGCCCCCCCAACACCTGCTACTCTGTTGCCAATGTATCTCACCTGTCAGTGATCCATCTCCCAGAAAGCTCAGCACTTACAGCTTCAAAATGTCATTGTGCCCGCCTCAGCTCCCTCCTCCATAAGCCACAGCTAAATTACATCCAAACCCAGTTCCAGATTCGTTCCCACTTAGCGCGCCATCGGAAGTGTAGCCAGCAAGGAGCGCCAGACTGCGCCACCTCGTGACATGGTTGCGCGACACAAAAGACACAGCGCAGAGGAAAAACGACCCACATGTCCACCATCACCACCTCGTCAGTCAGGAACGGACAGCAGCAAGGGACGTATTTACAAACATACATACTGTACAGACACGAGGCGCCAGAGCAGTAGCAACAGCAGGCACAGAACCAGCATCATAACAGCAGTAGAGCAACAGCTCGCGTTTGGTATAATATTTTTAAATAAAAATTGAACGAAACTGAAAACAGAAGTTGCAGAGAGCAATCTTAATCGAGCGCCTAGGGCAGGCAAGAACCATAATCCTTCTCTGCACAGACTGGTTATCCAAAGGCCGTAATTGTTGCCGGATGTGCATACAGAAAATAATTAACAAAAAAGAAAAAGGACCTTCCTCAGCAGCAAGGCCAGAGCTTAAAGGTGCAGCTTATGGACGATACCCTCGCACAGAGGTTTATGAGCTGAGAAAATGACAAGAGTTGCCGTCAAAGTTGATGTGTGTATAAAGAGCTGGATGGAAGCGGCCACATAACACCGTGACGACAGCACGGCAGCTGCAACATCCACGGCCCTCCCACTGTGGCGTTCCGCAGCAGTCACCCACCTCATGCTTCAAAGCAGAGGCCAATTACGCATCGACGTTGTTGACTTCGTCACCATCATTGACGATGAGTCACAGCCCCGTACAAAACATACGCATTCACAAACAGGAGACTCCCTCCATAACGACATACACCGTCATCATGCCAGCTGCCGGGGTGGTCATTCCAAGTACCGGTACAGTGAGACGCCAATACGGCGCCTCTGCAATGCAGTCCAACAGCTAAGCTGAGGCTGGGCTAGGTGCAGCTGCGGCAACAGCGGCAGCAGCAGCATCGGCTCGGTGAACAAGTGGTGGTGGGCCTTCCCGCCTTCCTTCTACACACTTGACCCTGTTGTGCTCTGCTTGCTGGATTAGTAGCATCCGTTCCCTCATCCTCTCCTCATCCCCATCTCCTCCTGCTCCCAAACTCATCATTTTCCACCTGCACTTCCTGTTGCGCACAGAGCCACAAAGCCTACAGGATAACGTGGATAATGACAAGCAACAGGCCAAGCCATATCCGCAACTTCATATCATCGCATTACTGCTGGGCAGTTGCTGCCACGTTGCCGCTCCCCGGGTGATACTGAGTAGCCAGTATGACATGCATGCATGACATGACATGACCGGTGCGCGATAAATACCTCAAACATTCCCAACTACTCCCGAGACCTCGCCACGTCGTCCTCCCACTCGCCCACCAGCAATGACCATTGTGGCTAGTCCTCCCCGTCTCCCTGGTTCAACCCATATCCCCCTCCGTCCGCGCCGCATCTTCTGTGAGCCAGCGATCAGCCGATAGGAACCGCACCTCACCTCGTGGATTCCCTTGGCTTCCACGAGTAAGATTGTCCCCAAAGCCCCGGATGCAGCCCATTCATCCGCTCATCTGTGTTCCATCCTCGCCTTCCCCCGGACAAGGTCTATTTCCCCAGCTCAGACAGGTCGTTTATTTACTTAGCGGGCCTGTCCCTCCGGATAGCCCAGGGCCAGGGCACCATGCAGGCCAAAAACAGGAGCGGGGCGGCGAAACAGGCACACATCCGTGCATTCCCAAAACACATAGCACACTTTGAGGACGAAAACGGAAAGCAGTATGTCGTCGTGGACGGACCATATCGTTACCTTTGGAACGACTATGAACTTTAGGTTCATCAAGGCGGTTGAGTACCTCCACTCAGGTCGCAAGCGGTTGCAGAACACATGTTTGCATAGCAAAGCCACACCGTGGCCATGCGGACATGCATCATGAGAGGTGAGGCCGTGTCGCAGGTTATATATCTTTCCTTCCCTCCGAGCAGGGTGCATAGATGCACATTTCGCAATGGTTCTATGAATGTCCATGTGGGCACAAAAGGTTTTAATGACACTGGGGTATGAAAATACGTGGCTCGCCACATACACGCCGCACTGTCGCACTGTCGCTCTCTCTGCCTTCGCACATACATACACACGCGCGCATGTCAAAACATCCGTACATTTATACATCAAACCTTCCATAAGTCCATAAGTACCGGGACGTAATAAAATACGTGCAGTACACTCTCCTACACATCACGCTCTACCTACCTACCAACACGAAAAAGCTGACCAGAAGGACGACATAGCCGTCATCCTTATCGTCATCACCATCATCCTGATCATTGTGGCCACGCCGGCATTGCAGGCGAAACACCAAGACGGCACACACACGCCCATACAGCTAATTAAAGAGACCTGTTGGCTGCGGGTGTATCCCAAGGTAACTTCTGCCGCTGCCACCGCCGCAGTACTTGTAACGACATACACTTAGCAGCAGCGTGAGGAGGGCTACAGCAACCAGCGTGCTCAGACGCAGCGTACGGCGACACCCTCGTCGTCCTCCTCAACAGCGTGTCTCCATATCGTATAGTCGTCATTGGGATCATCACCGAGTGCACTTCCAACGAGCTGTCGACGCCGTTACCGTATCCATCACCGACATCATTGGCTCTCCCGCATGTTGTGTCTCTGGCTTCAGGCCGCTAAGAAAGGTTACACAGTTTCAGGCCACCAGGTCCCCCTAAAGCGCAAGAACGGAAGTGCCATAAACCATGTACATGCACCGGGCTTGATGGACAAACTCATGAATGGAAGAACGACCTCGTGCGGCCGTGTGCTCAGGCTTAAGGCCTTGGCACCAGAAGCCCTGGATGGACCGGCTCGCCCTTGCATTCTTCACTCTCGGTGTTGCTTACTCTGACTTTCCACCATCTCCACGTCCTCCTTGGAGCCTCTGCCATCGCTGTCGCTGCGGCGTTCTCTCCCAGAGATGCTATCGCCCGTAGAGATCAGCCCTGAGAAGAGACCACGCAAGCGCCGCCAGGCCGTCGCGACAGGGAGGAGTGCGTCCTCGCTTGATCCAGATCCCAATCCCAACCCCCGATTCCGATCACGATGCAGGACCTGCATTACGCTGCGGCTCAACGACTGCAGCCGAGACTCAAACCTGCAGAAGCAGCAGCGGTACCAGTAGCATCATCATAATCACCACTTTATCAGTACACTTGCCGCGACAGCATCAGCAGCAGACTCAACACACCATACCACATTTTCAGACGCACCTAAAGGGGCTGTTGTCCGCTGCGTCGAAGTCAATGGGTTCGTTGCGACCCCATATCGTGTACGCGGCAGCGGCGGTGACCATGAAGAAGGCGCTGTTCATTGGGGTTGAGGGTGAGAGAGGAGAAGAGGAAAGTGTGAATGGAAGTAATGCAGAATCAAGACTTGACCGATACAGACGACGAATGCGGGAGAGATGTTCAGACAGGTTTATCGAAACCACAATAGCACGTAGGTGCTAGGTCCCAACACCCCAAAACTCGCCTAACCTCACCCCGCTCATATGAGCCCTCACCTGGGCAGAAACAGCGCCACCTCCCAGCTCTCGGTGTGTTCAAACAGGTAGCCAACCGATGCGACGCCTAGCACTCCTGGAATGGCGGCCGTGGTGTTGGTGAGGCCCAGCAGTATGGGCGCGTACTTGGGGCTCATGTCTTGGTGCGTGCAAAACAGACCCGCCAGGCTGCAGCTCGATACGCCCAGCGCCACCGTGATGGCGGCCACCGTGGCCCCGCTGTTGTCCGCTATCTCGGGAGTGCAGGCCGCCACCAGCAAGACGGTGGGAAGCAGAAAGGCAATGTTCTGCACAGGGTAGAGAAAAGGACGCGTAGAGAAGAGGGAGAGAATTAGATCTGCATATGCGAGACGCTACTAGTCATCTGGGGAAGGGTGGGTAGCTAGGTTGGTTGGTAGGTACGTTTTAAGGCCAGGGGAGAGCAGCAGGAGGCAGTGTCGCTGAGCTGTTTGTGCGCACGGCGGTAAAAGCTGTAAACGTCAATGCGTCCGTTAAGGTGTGGAATGGCCATTGAGTGGCAGAGGAGGAGGACTGGAGGAGAAGGAGCAGCTAGTGTGTGTATCCGTGCGTGGAAGGCAAGAACAACACTGCACACTACAGAGAAGGGCCAAACCGAAGCCGAACCCACCTCCCATACCCCGCCAAGGCTCCCGCTAAAGTCCCAGGGCCAAACCGTACCTGCATCAGCTTGCGCACTGTCGGGACGGCCATGCCACGGCTGATGAGCGCGTCTGCAGCCGCGCCCGCGGCCGCGCCCGCGGCAATGCCCGCCAGCGGCGGCAGCAGCGCTGTCTGCGACGCGTGCAGCAAATCCACTGACAGCGTGTCTACAAAGTAGGTCGGCAGCCAGGCCAACATTGTGTAATGGAACCAGTTGTTGGCGAAGTGGGTGTAGGCCAGCGCACGCATGGGTGTCGAGCGCAGGAACGCACGCCAAGGCAGGGGCGGCGGCTCCACTGTCGCTGCCACCGCTGCTGCGGCACCTGATGGCGCTGCCGCCGACAGTGTCCGAGAGTCGGTGATGAGGCGGTTGGCAAAGTCCGGCTCGGTGGCGGCGATCCGCGACATTATGCCCTGTGCATACATGGGGGTATGGATGTAATGCAGGCGAGGAGGACAGAGATCTGACATAGCAGCGAATAGGACGTACTCCAACATAAAACTGCGAACAAATGCTGACATTTAGCACAACGTTCGAAGGTAGGGCAGCAATCAAGTTTACCGAGCAGATTCTGCCAGCCATGCATACACACATATGCACATACCTGTTCAAACCATAGCCACCACACCAGCCCCAGCGCGCCAAACGTGATGAACACGGAGCGCCAGCCCGAGTGCGCGATGAGCCAGGGCGCCGCCAGCAGACCCAAGATAGAGCCCACGTGGAAACCGGAAAAGATAAAGGTCACGGCGCGGGCTCGCTCGCCGGGGGGCACGGCACGGGCCACAATGTCGGTGGCGGCTGAGGGCGCGGTGGCCTGGCCGAAACCCACCACGGCGCGGGACAGACATAAGCCTGGGCGGGGAAGAAGAGGAAAGAGGGCGGGTTAAAGAAAGCATTAAGATTGCTAAGTGATTCGCGGAGCTGTGAGCCTCGCCCATCTGCCTCTCGTGCAAACCAAGTTGTCATCCACACCCATGCCATGTTTTATATAAAAAGACGCGGCCCCGAAGAACAGAAGGCAACGACATGACAACTCCAAACACACACGAGAACCCCTCGCCATTCGCTCACCCTCGTACCCCACGGCTCAACTCCACACATAATGATGGTACTACGACATCCGGCCATCCTATATGAACTATAGCATGTGCTGCGCAAAACTCCCTCTGCATATAGAGTTAATAGCCAAGCTTCCCGTCTAGCACAGCTTGCAGCACGCCGCCGTGTAGAGTACCTGCACGGCTCGAACTGTGCGGCCGCAGCACAGCCAACATCACCTCCCGCTCATCTTTCCCGCCCATTCTACTCACCGGGCACGGTCGCCGCCACCGCGGGCACAATCCCCGTAGCTGCGCTGTAGAGCAACACGCCCGCGGGCAAGATCCGTCTGCCTCCGAGCTTTGAATTGAAGTAGCCGCCCGGCAGCTGGCACATCATGTAGCCCCAGAAGAAAGCACTCTGCACGAGGCCTACTGTCGTCGGACTCCAGCCGTAATCTCGGGCCATAGGGATGATGCAGACGGAGAGGTTGACTTTGTCAAGGTTGCAGATAACGAAAGAGACCGCGGTGCCGAGGATGATGCGGTATCGAGAAGGTAGCGCGTCCCACCAGCCCCAGAAACGCGTAGTGGTGGTGGAAACGGAAGATAGGGAATTTGAAGGATCGGAGGAGGAGGAAGAGGGAGATGAAGGGGAGAGGTGGGGAGGAGGAGGCGTGTTGGGCACGGCGACGGCGACGCCATTGCCGTTGTGGGGCTGTCGCAGAGAGGTGCGGCGTGGGCGGGAGATCTTGACAGTGTGCCCTGAAGCATGGAAGGTCTGACTGTGGTGGGTTTGATGGGCGTGGTGTTGTTGATTGCGGGCGTGCTGATGGTGGCTGCGGGACGGGTCGGGCTTGTGGTTGTGGGAAGCATGAACTACAAGGGAAGAAGCACCGCCAAGGCTGCGCCAGCCGCAGCGAAATGTGCCGCTGTAGGAGCTGAGGACCGCAGAGCGACGTGGATAACTTGCGGTGTAAGCTGCCATTGAGAAGCCGGAGGGCTGCGATGAACTCCGTTGCGGCAAGCTAGCGAATCCGTTGCAGCTGGAAGAAAGCTGTGAGGCCATTCCTGCCTATCCTACAGATATACTCCTATCGTTTTGTGACTCAAGTCGTGTACCGGGGACGCTTTGTACAATGATAAGCCTGTCGCACAGTCCTCTCAATCCTGAGAGCTGACACGCTCCGCGACTAGGAATGCGGCACACCTATTTCATAAGTGGCTATCTACAATGCCATTGATGCGAATTTGAACTGAAGATAGCGCCCTCGGGGTGTCGATGGATGTTGAAAAATATGCCGAATCAAAATGGGCACATTCTCATACGCATAAGCTGTACACCTGTCACAGTACGCTCGACTTTAACCGCAAATAATGGAGGGCATGGCTACTCAAACCCTCACGTACTGCGGTGCATCGCTGGCAGAGGTACGAAGCCCTGAGAAGCTGCCACAGAATCCGCGCAGCTGCAGTCAAGTTGTTAGGATTCCTGAGACATCTGGCAAAATCCGGTGATATGAGCAAGGTACCCTCTGCTCACGTGTGTCGTCGGACGCCGCTGCAGACGTCGTATCTCTCTCGGTCAAACTGGTCGCTTTCTGCGGGCTTTCAACTTTTATTAGGTAGAGAAAACGCTCTTTTTCATTACGGCGATGTATAAGTAGCCTGGAAACGCACAGGCTTACAGCATCGGCTGCTGTTAACACATTTTTCGAGGCAGGGGCTGAGGAGCGTGATTACGAACGCCCGTAGGATAGTTGGGTAACTGGTCCTTTGTGCCATGAGAAGGGTTGGGATTGGTAGCGGAGACGTTAGGCCTTATGTGAGGGCATAAGAAATGGGACTTGCCGAGTGTTATCACCGATGTTTAGCTTCAATAGACATTTACCAAGATTCTGGGCATCGCACCTAGGGCTGCTGTTCCCTTTCTTGAAGCCCTCCCCACGGAACACGGAGAGACGAAATTCCCGTCAAAGCAGCATTTACAACCGTTTACATCCCCTCCGGTTTGCCAAGGATAAAGCAATAACGACACGACAGAATGTACGGTCGTTCCACTGCGATCGACGCCGATCTCCATCACGAGCACTCGGCGAAACACGCCGCCGCCCGCCCCGGAAGACGGCAGCGCAGCCCCGAGCACAGCACCGACAGCCCTGCTGCGGCCGTGATGGCAATTGCGTCTTGCGGCCCCCGCAGCAGGGGCGGGACTGCAGCTGCTTACTGAGCAGCCTCCTTCGAGGCCTGGCTGGCCATGCGCAGGGCGCGCTTCTTGGCCAGAGACTCGGAGCTGAGGGACGGGAGCACACGAAACCGGCAAGCACGGTCATGGGGAGAAAGTTGCCAACGGTACACGGCGTCGTGAACCAGTTAGCACGAACGGCAGATTTGGTGGTGCTTAGATCAGCAAGCTCATTTATAAGCGAGCCATTTTCACCGTGCGACAGCAAGCGCTCTGAAATATGCATGTTAGGCCGTGGCCGGACCATGACTACTGCTACTCCAATCCGGAAGCCTATGGACTGGACCCACTCAGCTACGAGCCGAACTGAGACCACCTTTCATTCTCGCCCAAGACTCCCGCAAAACCCCTAACAACGCCTTAACCCTCGACCCTAAAAGCACCCACCGGCGCTCCCGCTGCTCCTTGAGGCGCTGCATCAGCAGTTTGTGGTACTCGGCGGCCTCGGTCTTGTTCTTCTCCTGCTGCCGCTTCTTCAGGATCTTGCGAGCGCGCTTGCGCTGCAGGGCAGCGGGGGTCACCAGCCTGCGAGGCCGCGTAGCGAGATGGGCAAGGAAAGCGGTTACGAAAAGACCGAGGACTACCACATTGACCTTTGCACGAAGGTGTCAAAAACCAAGGTGCATCCAGTTAAAGTTGCAGGGTCACGGATGCAATGATGGAGGTGCAGGCATTGGTTCTGCATGGCCAAGCAGCAGGGCAGGCACTGTAGCAATCCTCTAGGCTCGTAAAACGCATGCTGCCAGCCCAAGCCCTCATCACTACGCGTATCCTCGTGGCATCATCTCTAGTAGTATCGGCGGACTGCTTTTCCTCATACAACCAGGGTTTCCTGCCCTTACCTCTGGATCTTAGGGCACTTGCGGTGGGTCTTGCCGTTCTTGTCCTTCCGCTCGCGCGAGTAGATGGTGACGTACCTGGGAATTGCGAGTGACCCATTGTTAACAATTCTCATCCATTTCTTGCAAAAATATCAAGTTAACGCATTGGCAACCCAAACCCGACCTTGAGAACTACACAGCGCATCATAATGCCTGGAAGATCACTCGTCTCGTCCACCGGCACCCTGCCAAGGTCAGTCCTTTCCCTAGACCTTATTTCCACCCAAGGATTCTTACTTGCGCACGTCGTCCTCCTTGGACAGGTTGAACATCTTGCGAATCTTGCTCGCACGCTTGGGACCGCGCATGCGGGGCTTCTCCTCATCCGTCAGGCCGGGCAGCTCCGCCTCACCCTTCTTGACGATCACCAGGTTCAGCACCGACAGGTCCGGAGAGACGATGCAGCCGCGAACGGACTTCCGGCGGCGCTCACCTGCCGGCAAAAACGTAAGACACCGTACCGAATTGCGCAGGGTCGACATGAGGGAAGAGCGCAGAGCACACACAGGCTGTGGCCAGCCCATCCAGGCCATGATATCCGAGCTCAAGAACAATCCCTGCTCCCGAACATTGCTAACGGGCGTTGGCGACTGAAGCATGCAAGGACATGCGTGGGAATGTCTCGAGTAGCCAGGTTGAAATGTAACTCCATAATAGGTGTATGATAACGGGAGTCGTCAAGAATTCCCACTGGCCAACTGGCTTGCGCTGGTTAAATCACATGCGCTCCTTGCGTCGCGGTGTCCATCCCATGCAATTCGAAACATCACGCCAAAGCTCCCAGGAGTAAAAGGCGGTGCACCGGCATACGCCCAATATACGCCTATCGCCCCGATAGCACCGATGACGACGAAGACGGCACAAGCGAATCGATTGGCGATAGCTGAAGTCGCTAGATGAGCGTAGCGCTTCCAAGCTTCATCTAGGCATCTAGGATTTTGGGCCCAGCCTCATGACACATGAACACCTGTTCCTCGACGTCACACGGCCAGCCATCCAATGGCTACATCTTCAAAGCTGTGAGCTGCGAGTACTGATGCAGCACCGGGATATTGAGCTGAGCATACTAGGTGCTGGTACGACATGCTGCAGTACTGGTGTCAGCGACAGCACCCAAACGGAATAGCTGTTCTTACAGCAGGCACGCACCCAGCAGCTCCGGGACAGGCTGGAAGCCAGAGCTGCTCGCCAAAGAGTGCCCACCGTTAGAAGATCGGCAGTATGCTTCCAGGTAAGCTAGCCCTATTTTCCTGTCGTATCACCTCTCCTGGAAAGCTTTTCCCGTAATGCGTAGACCTCGCTAAGCAAGCTAGAGTTTGGCTGGAATAAACAGTCCAAAGGCCACTTCCGCTGACGCCTCAGCTATAGGAAAACGCACCCTTCCGGCGGCCGTGGCCCCTGAAACCCTGGTCGCCTGGGGTCATCAGGAGGCGAACGCGGCCATTGGTGAGAACACCCTGCTTCATGGCGAAGCCCTGCTTGTCCTGGCCACCAGCGATCTTCAGTACATAGCCCTATTAAAAAAATGAAAAAGACAAAAGATATAAAAGGGTTAACACAACGGGTTACCCAGCAATGGGGCGGCCGGCGGCGGCCAGATGCGCACAACAGAAACAGAACTAGCACATCTTCACCTTGAACTCCTCGCCAAGAGCCTCGCCATCAACCTCAGCGGCCAGGCGCTTATCATAGAAAGCGCGCAGCTTGGCGTCATCGTCCACCTCCAACTTCTTTTGGCAGCCCGTGGCCGGGTAGGCAATGTTTAGCTTCATTTTTGTACAAGCTGCTCACCTGCAGATAAAAATGTGGTCTACTTCGCTAATGTTGCAGCAAAGAGCGGGACAACTTTCAGCTATGCAAGTTACGGCGCAGAACACGGCCTCAACACGTTGCAAATGCGCTATTTCGTATAAATTCAACTTGAGATGCCTAAGGAACGGTAGCAAGAAAAAGTTGTGCCAATTTGGCGGCGGTATCCCTAAAAACGACCTGCCACAATCGGCGACGGCGCCCGTAAAAACTGACCTGGGGTGGCGCCAGCAGGAAAGAGAAATGAGAATGCGTACCGAGCGGATTCAAGGTGCTCGCCGGCGCTGTAGTACGTAGTGTACGGCATATATTTCCCTATGCTACTTACCCCCTTGTTGTCTCTTTACATATGGTGCTCGGAAAAGGTCCGTCCGTCTTGCCTGGTAATAAATTCAGAATGTTGTGTGACAGGATTCTTATTTCGTATCAAGCACTTTACTGCATACCTTTGAAGACATTATCATTCCCATTTAGCTTCATTCATAGACACGAAGCATTACACCTTATGCATGCGGAAAACCATTCCTGTTACCAACTTCTAAGTAAAGCTCGCGGCTCGTATGGTTTCATCCTTTCTTATGTCACGGGCCTGCATATGCTTCCTGTGACACCGAGGGCGATCTGCGGACAAGTTTTAGGTTACTAATGTCTGACAAGGGGGGACTTTGAAAGGATTAAACACAACTCCTTCCCTTGCAGATGGTGTGCCGGGAAATGGCCCATTTTGCCCTCGGTAAATCGCAGAGCGCTGCTTACACCACAGCAACGGCACACTTTGTACATGTGGTCCCGGAAGATCTCGTCCACTCGGCATTTACATTCAGTGTCCACTCGTCTGCGTGTATCTATCTGGATGAGCGGGACACGGGACATGTCAGGTGCTATCCACCGCTGAGTCGCAGTGAACCAAGCATTATGCGTGGTAGACAAGACCAGTGAAAGACCGGTAAGGTCCATGTGCGATGGAAAAATGGGAAAGAGGCATTGCGTGAAGCCCTTATTCTGGGTCTTCTGCTTCAGTTCAAATTTGCGCACCTTCCGTAACCACCTCGTCGTCCTCAAAAGTCACGATTGCAGCCACGCGTCCTCTCTCCGGCACGGTGTGCAGCGACCGGATGGAGTACCCTCTGAGCAGCTAGATTACTTTCCTACGGGCCTTTCGTGCAGGACCGTGGTCTTAATACGCGTGCCCTGGATCAGATAAGGGCACAGGTAAGATCGCGAGCGTGTCAGTGTTGGCACGCTTAATCACGCGGGTACCAAAGGTGGACCCATACCAGTGCACACATACCAAATGTTCCATCGAACACACACATGCCCTTCGTGGAACGTTAGGCACATGCGCCCCGGTATGATGTGGTCCATGAGTAGGGGGTTTGATCGACCCACGGACGCAGAGCTCGGCAAACAATCAAACGATGGCATGGAACGTCTCGCAGGTACTAACTTACCTAGGTGCCTTCCTTCTTCCTTTCCCCGCAAGTCCCCTCGCGTTCCCTGCAGCAGCAGCTGCAGCGGCCACAGCTCCACGGTGCTGGTAGCAAGTACCCCCCACCCCCCCACCCCCACCCCCATGGTGCCCTTTAGGGCAGTCCTTAAACACATTATATTGTCGTGGTGTCCATCGATGATCTGTGCGGATCCATTGCAATGCGCTCCGTAACACAATCCATCAGCAATGTCTGGGCAGAGGAAACGTGGTTCCATATGGGGGGGGACCGGAAGGACAGCCCTGCTCGCAAAACTAGCAAGCTGACCGCCGTTCACCCTTTTGAGGAGAAAATTGGTGATGCCGGCGAAACCTCGCAATTGTTGCTGCATTGGTAGATCGGTTAGTTCGAAAAGAATTTTGCACGTTGCAAATACCAAGCGATGGCGAGCCGGGGCATCCGTGTCACAGTTAAAAGTGCCCTTCTGTTCCCCAAGATCAACGAATTTTCCGAAAGCAGCTATCCAATCCAACCACGCGAATGAGCCCAGACCCTATCATAGAGCCAGTAAAACCATACTAAATATAGACGATCCAGTACCTGCGGCTGACGTGTACGCTTTACAAAACGATCACGGTAATGGGGACATGGAAACACAACCACCACCATCTTAGCGGAAAGACGTTGCTGCCCACATTCCCATATCAACACACCACACAAGCACGCAAACATATGCGCAACACCATTCTGATGGTACTTCTGCTTCCGCTGCTGTCGCTGCTTTTAGTCATTTGGCCCCTTCAACTCCTCAGCTTTCGCTACGATTGGCACGCCACAACCAGGAAGTTCGCTAGGAGACCGGTACGCAGCACGGCCAAATCACATCACATCGCCTCGATCGGTCGAAAAATATACAATCGTTGTTTGTCCGTGACCGCAGCCACGCAGGATATCTCCTTGCCCACAGCCACCACCTCCACCTCCTCACCCGGCGGATACAGGGCCGCCAGAGCCGTCGTCAGCTGCCGCCGCCGTCGCTGCCGCTGCTGCTGAAGACGACTGTCACCGCCACCGCCATTGTTTCCATCGGCAGTAGCTGCGTGGTCCGCCTCCTCTGGGTCCGAAAGAGGGCGCTGTAGCAGCTCTTGCATATCTGCGTAGTGCATGGCCCGAGCCTGGGGCCAGTACGTGACGGCGGGGTGTACGTGTGGGATGGGAGCGGGTAAGGAAAACGTAAAATAGGGTCTTCGGAGCTGCCATACTTGCGGACTCCCATTCACCCGACGAAGCGCAACCCCGCCAAGTCAAAACCAACCCGACATCAGCCCAGACTCAACCCATTCTTCCTCCCATTCACTGCACACCCAAGCCACACACACGTGGAAATACCACCACCTGCATCCACAGCAGCCGGGATCCCGCCAAAGCCGCTCCCTGCACGTGGTCAATGGAGTGCAGCAGACCGCCACCCCACACGTCCCACACGCAAGCCAGCCCGCGCACGTCCACCGACATAAGCAGCACGTGATGCCGCTGCTGGGGAGTCTCCTGGGCCGCCAGCGGCGGCGCCTGCTCAGATGTTGCCGTCGCGCAGACGCCATTAGACACTGAAGACGGCCGAGGAGAGGGCGTGCTGGGTACCTGGGCTAATGGCTGCGGTGCTGGTGGCGGGAGCTCAACGGCTGATCCAAAGGCGAGTAGCGCCACATCAGACACGTGGTAGCGATAGGTGTTGATTCGCATGCCCATACGGGCGTCCCACAGCTGGACTCCGGGGTTACCTGGGAGGTCAGATCGAGGCCAAGCGACCCGCGGGTCAGTGCAAAATGGGAAAACGGTCGTCGCCTCACCAGTTCTTGCCAGCGAATTCATATCGTCGCATCGCCAACCCTGAATCCCCCGAGTTCCTTTTGGGGCCCGCGGCGGTGCTAGTGATGGTGGTGATGTTGCGGTTCTGGGGAAGCTGCTGACGAGAAACCAGGGGACCAAACAATGCTGCTGGCCAGTCAGTTGTAAGAGGCATTCCATAAGTCCTCAAGAATTCCCTTTCTATGCCCGGAGACAAGGTACCATCATGGTCTATAGCCTGCGCGTATTTCTTCGCCCTTCCGGGAGCTACTCTTTGGCCGTCTAAAACAAGCCTGGACATCTAAAAAGTGGCGACAGGATGGGTATGCATCTAGGAAACGGTGTGCATCTTGGCGGCGTTGGTCTAGGCCCCAAATCGAGGCCCCTCACCTCTTGCGGCCCCGGTGGCCACCAGGGAGCTGTCCTCCGCCCAGGCTACAGCCGTAGCACCCGAGGGGTGCCCCTCCAACAGCGCCGTCTGCAGGCGCCCAAGCGCGCCAAGTGTTGGGGAGGAAAGCGGAAATGCTTGGCAGGTAGCAAGCGTACATGTCCACTTAACGCTCTGCATTCAGGCTGGCCTGTGGCTTGGACACTACTCGCTCGAAAAAGCGCTATTCCCCAGGCTGCCTAACCTTGCTGGGCTGTGCGCTGCGCTTCAGCAGCTTGCTGGGGTAACAGTAACCCATTGTATTGTGAACCTTTAAGAGGGTCGCCATTAGATGCTGACGGTGATGTCTCTCAGGGACGCATGGCCATATGCACATGCTTGTGGTACGGTGACTCCACGTTCCTCCCAGCCCCCGGGTATATACCTCTCATTCATAACGCTTCAGGTGGAGCTAGTCCAAGTCTTAGAACCGGCTTAATTGTAGCGCTGGTAGCATTTTGGTTAAGTAATGCTTGCCATAGCGGATGGGTAGGGAGGAGGACGATTCGGCTGCGATGAAGGGCGGTTGCGTCTTACAGGTATCTAACCACGTCACGACCGCCGGCGTGGCACGGAGGTGGCGCTTTCAGCTGGATCTGCTGACATGTGGTGAACCCATGCACGTTACATCCCCTTTGCAGCTGCTTGATTGCTGGAGCTGTGGTGGTCAGACCCATCCTCCTCCCCAAGCAAGCTCTCAGCACGAAGGCTTCGTGTTAATGGATCACCCCACTAGTTATGAAGCTCGTTAGTAAGCTAAGGTACCTGCCCTGGAAGCTGCCTGCGGTCCTCACCTGGAACCCGCCGACCGACCAGATGCGCGCGGTGCCGTCCTCTGCACACACGGACAAGCCGACACAGACAAGCGTGATAAGTAGGCACGCATAACACTCCGGGGGGGGGCATACCCACGCTTACAGGCGTTCACACAGCGGATGGAGCGGGATTGGACGGGTGTGTAGCGATGAGGCAGCAACGCCCAAGGGGACACGCAGCTAGATGACGGAGGGAAGGACGGGTGTACGGACGAGGGCGAAAGGAAAGAAAGAGGCGTGAGGTGCGGCCCCCTTAGCAAGAGCCTGTAATCAACAAACCCCTCTCTAGCCTACCCGTCCCATCCTCCCTTTCCCACCCGCCTTTCACATATTCTTGTCGTCTGGCACTGCCAAAACAAGATATCCCTCCCCTTCTTGAGTCCCCGGTACCGCTCGGCCGTCCTTCCTACCACCCACACCTTACCCACCCAGCCACACTTTCCCCTGAACGGCTCCAGCACACGCACACACACGCACACGCACACACACGCACACGCACACGCACACGCACACGCACACGCGCACGCGCACGCACACGCACACGCACACATGCACCTGACGAGGACGCCAGGCTGAAGCCATCCGGCGAGAAGGCCACCCCCGTCGCCGCCTTCGTGTGGCCCCGACACCAGCCAATGTTGGAAAACTCGTCACCATCCAGGATATCGAAGACGAGCACTCCACCGTCCTCTGCCGGGGCAAACGGCAGCAGCACATGCAAATGGAGAAAAAGGGAGGAACGTCAAGGGGTGCCCCCAGATGTAACCCTCCTCCTACATAAAACTGTTGAGGCAATGGGTGAACGAGGCTTTGTAACAGGAAGCCCCTTTACAGCATTCGGTGAGACGAACATTCCGAGTGTCGAGGAAAATACGCTGCTATCCCCAAAGCACCGCAGCGGTTCTCCTTTGCTGGAGGTAGCGACGGCGCGCCGCGGCTACGTCTCACGTAGCCATCAAGGATACGCACTACAGATGCCCCGTTGAAAAATAACTCCTGACTCGTCACCAAAACCTTGGGCCGAGGTAGCAACAGCTCTTGAACCTGCAGGCTTAAACCTACATCCTACAGGAGGCTTAACACAGGAGGCTTAAAACTACATCACCTGAGACGGGCCCCAACGGAGGGTCCCCTAGGTGCTGTCCCTCCCCACCGCGTCTCTTGGTGCGGCCCTTGCGGCCGTGTGTGCCTACCTGCTGCCGTGGCCATGCGTTTGGAGTCCCGGGAGAAGGCCACCGCCGTAACCCGGCCGTAAAAGCAGCGCAACGTGCGACGGTGGGCGCCACTGGTGCTGTCCCAAACGCACACTTGGAAATCATCTGCGGGTCAAGCCAGCACACACACACTCACACATACACGCCATAGCATTTTGTGGGTCGCTCATCAGCTGCGGGTGGTCAGCGACCGTGGTTGGTATCGCTTCCTTCAACAATATCGCAGGCACAGGAATGCCGCGTGAGTTGCTGCACGCCGCGATGACTCGTTTGAATTCTCTGTAACAAGATTCCATTCCATTTGCCGCACTTAGCGGTCGGGCTCCCAGCAGGGAACGACGTTCGGCATGTGAGGGGGAGAACGTGCTACGAAACGGCCTTGACGAAGCCAGTCGCCAGTACCATCAAACCATGCGCGGTCTCCTCAGAGCGCCTCGACCGCACGGAACACCCCCAGCGGATGGACTGCCTCTCGGCCTCCCGGTCCGTTGCAACGTGGGACATGGAGTTACAGGACACGACATGAAGTGCACGCTGTAGCGGCCATACCTGCGCCTGTGGCAATCAGGCGGCCGTCCGGGGACAACGCCGCCGTGTTCACTGCGAACCCCTCGTGACCCACGGGACGCTCATCGTCACCAGCCCCACGTCCACCACAGCTGCTGCCGGGTGACAGCGCGGACCGAGGGTCCCCCGCTGGATCTACTTGCCAGATTCGAATCGAGAAGTCCACTGCGATAGGCGCGAGGAGAGGGTGAATGTTGGGGAGGTAACTCGGTCTACGTTAGCAAATTGTGGGAGGTGCGGGTGGAGGGGCACGATGGAGCGGAGAACGGCAGGGGAGATGTTATGTTACGTTACCTGGCTAAGGTTTATGGAAAAGGCGAATAGGGACAGGATTGAAGCAGCGAAATTGATTCCCAACGACGACGAGAGGTCTACCGGCTTCTCCTTTCTGAGGAAATGTATATAAGCCCTAGAATGGGATGGACCTGACCGGAACCTAACGGCATAGCGGATCTCAGGAGTACCACATCGTGTTCCCTAGATTTGGCAGCGTTATCTCGCACCGGCCCTCTCACCGGAAGCAGACGCCAGCCGACAGACCGCTGGTGCAGCTGTTGGTGCTACCTCGGAGCCCGAAGAAGCAGAAGGTCCGGAAACCTGACCAGACGCCGCTTGTGCCGGTGATGATGTTGTTGATGTGAGGAAGGAGAGGCTTGTGACGAGGCGGGTGTGGCCGCGCAGCACCGCCACGCACTGCCACTGGCACGGCCTGCGGCACACTCGCGGCCCGGGCGGCCCTGCAGTTGTGGCCTGTGTCTCCTGTGGCCGTTCGGATTCCACCGCCCCGGACTGTTCCTCCTCTCGCTGGGCCTGCCCAGCCTCCGCGGCTGCTGCCCCGGCGGTGTGAGTCGCCTCTGCGGCAGCTGCCAAGTCCTCCTCTGCCTGCTGCCGGGCAGCCTACGCGCGGATATGGAGGTTAATCGTCAGTCAGTCCGTTAGGTAGGTAGGAAGGTAGGTCCAAGGTAGGAAAGTGGCAGCAGACGCCTGGAGACATCGTCACGAAGACCCAGTGGTAGCGAGACCGATTACGTGTCTTCCCAGCATTCAACCATGCAGATTGCATTGCGAGTGCGGCCGTGCGTAACATAGCATAGGTGTGGGGACATTGTGGCTAGGTCCCTTTCAGCGGGTTGGTCTCCGGCGCGCCTAAATCACCGTACGAGACAGCATGAGACCACACCCGAGGGCATGAGTGTGCATCTGTCCATAATCCAACAGGCATGGCAAAGAGGACGAAGACTTTAAGGTGCACCTAAGAGATGAGCGTCGAATTACCTGTAGAGCTGCGTGCCAGCCATGCGGGTAGGCTGTCGGGAGGTGGCGCCACAGTCGTACCGTGCAATCACCTGTTAAATGGAATCCCGCTCACAATAGTACGTCGGCTTCAACAGAACAAAAGGTAGTATCTTCTTATGGTTATTGTGTAACATGAAAGTGTATTTCCGGTTTAGCATTTCAAAGGATTTCCCATAAGGCACGGAATCACGAGGCCAGGTCCATTTTACATTGCGTTAAGATGTTTTCCAATATGAATTACTTAGATGCTAATCACATACTATCGGCGGACTTCTTGCTGAGGTTCTTCACCCATCCGTGGCGTTCCAAATCCGCCATCCCGCTACCCTTCATGGAGCAACTCTTGGTCCTGTACCAACTTAGTTTGACAGTATACATTCATAAGCTTTGCGCCATCCTACAGCGACCGAAGGACTAAACACCTTTCGGGCTCCCAAGCTAGCAGTTATTCAGTCCTGGGTATGTTTAACAAGATGCTGCTTAACAAATGAAAAGAAGGAACCCATCGAGGTACCTGTAACAACAAAATGGAAGGTAGAAGCAAAAACGAGCTAGTTACATCTGTCAGCCTGCAATGTAGAGGCACCTCCATTTTGCCCAATCGAACCGAAGAAGAAAAGCGTGATGAAGGAAAGCTCAGAGCTGAGAGCTACCCTCAGATCAGCTACCCCACACTCAAAGTCACCGCCCATACCTGAACCGGAGGCAAAGTGTGGGCCGCCGTTCTATCTCACAGGCATGATGGTGTACATGTGAGGGGGAACATAAGAAGGCGAAGTTGAAATTGCAACTGTTGTCCCCTAAAAGGGTTGTCCCCCTTTAGTTCATCCCCGAAGGGGAAGAACCAAACAGTACAGGGTGCATGAAGACTCTCTGCTCTGTGAACAACATTTAAAGCATAACCAAACAAATAAAACCAAAATACATACATTGATAAAATGAGTGCGCATACAAAAAGCATCCCGCACCCGATGCGATTCGAACGCACGCGGGGAAACCCCACCGCCTTAGCAGGGCGGCGCCTTAACCACTCGGCCACAGGTGCAGCATCTGCAAGCTCCAGCTTGCTGCTGGGATGGGGCATGCCAAAATGGCTTACAGCAATTATATGTAGGGATCAATGCATCATGATCAGGCTGCTGCCTCTAGCCCCTAGGGTGCCAACCAGCGGGGCCGCTCACGCCGCCGCCTCGGGCAACCGCCCAGGAGGGCAGCCCACCGGAACCGCCCAGGATGGCCACCCCAGGGGGCCCACCCATGCGGCCATTGCATGCGGCCGGCCGCCAAAACAGCTGCCCCACCCTAAGAAGTTAGCCACCCCGGGTCGATAGGCCCTGCTTGTACTAATTGGGCCAACCACTATTATCATGCCGACACCCTGACGCGCATCCAAGCCCTTCACCACACCTGAAGTGCCAAGCAACGTACGGCATCCGTGTGTCCCCGCAGACGTTCTCGAAGCAACCCTGAAGCGACATCCCACACGACCACGGGCCCAGAACCTGCGCACATGAGAGAGATGGTCCCCGTCCCACAGCTTACAACACAATCCCCGGCGACTGAAGTCCGCAAATGCCGCAGCACACATTCAAATCCGCTTGTGGGCGAAAAACAGCACCAGCCCTCGCAAGGCAGTCCTCGGGGCCCGAACTACCTATCCCAATCCACTTTTCCTTATTAGCCATTACCTGATCCTGCCAGCAAGCATCCTGGTGGCAGACCAGGGCCGGCCGCCAGGCAGTAATGCTCCGGAGCACGGTACGACGCGCGAGATTGCCGTCCATTAACATCTTCCGCCACGCCTCCTAGCAGCGGCGGCTGTGGCATCGGCTGCGTTGCAGCCGCCTCTACATCAACCGCGCTACAACTGCTGTCTTTGGCGGCCGGCGCATTGCAGATGAACCATGGGTCGGCTGCGCCGTTTACACTTCGCTGCGTTTGAAGCCCGGTCGCCTCGTACTCGGTCTGGGCCTCGCTGTCCACTCGGAGAGTGCGGAGGGGCTCCGTAACCAACAAAACGCCGGATCCTCCTCCTTCTCCGCCGCCGCCACCGCTGCTTTTGATCGCAGGATCCCACAGGTGGATGCAGGAGTCCTCTTAACGGAAGTCAACAAATTTTTAGGTACAACAAAAACGGAGGAGGAAAGGAAAAGGAAGGTCAACTGATTGAATTCATTGATGCATGAAACACATACGCGTAGATTTCCCAACCAACAGGCGCTATCGCCCAGCAACGGGTATGACAAGCCGGGCCGAGCAAGCAAGCACAAGCACGCGAGGTGATTCCTTCATTCGACACACCGGGCAACAAGCTGCTTCCGAACCCCATATGGCCAAAGGGTGTTACATCCGTGGCACGCTTCAGGGCCCCCGCATCACGTTCAGCCTCCGCCGCACGTCTGATGTGCCGAGCTCATCACGGGCAGGTGGCTGGCAGAAGTTAAGGCCTGACTTCTGCTCCCGGAGGTCCCGGGTTCAAATCCACCTGCTATTCCCTCGGAATGTGATGGGTGTTGAAATGGGAGGTGGTCCTCCGTCTTATGGACGGTGTAGGACGTGATAACAGCAGCTAGCGAGCTGACCAGGAATTAAGTTGTGGCGCCTTTGATCCGCTAGATTTGGTTGGATGCTGGTGGTGAGTTGCCAAACCCAAAGAGTACATTCTGAAGTCGGATGGGGTGAATGGATTAGGGTGCCCCTCTAGCAGGGGAGAGCAGGGAATTGCCTCGGGAAGGAGGCCACTGGTGTAGCTGTACCACCCTGTAGCAACAACGACACGCTTTCCCACCTACACGCAACCACAGAGCATCTCCCCTCTCCAACCTGAACAGGAAGCCAGCACCAAGGCCGGCAGTCCACTGCCGACCCCAGCCTTCTCACTCCCCTCCCTCCTGTGGCCTGTCATGCGGACCGCGCCAGCAGCCCCCTCCGGCTGCGACAGCTCTAAGAACGTCAGCCCCGCTACAGCCTCCTTGTGCGCTTGCGGGGCAATCCACGCCTTGACGGCATGAACGGAGGTGCCCATGCTCCATACCGCTATAGAGCCATCGCCTGCGGGACGTCCGAGGGCGAGTTGGCCCGCATGGATGTGGCCCCGCGGCTCATCGATTGTACTTGATTGTGTCAGGGAACTGATGACCTACAATACCAGATTGGTTGGTTTGGGGGCCGCGTGCCCTTCCTACCCGGCCTTAGGATCCCGGTATCCGAGTAGCACAGGCACTGCAACGATACCCCCGGGGGAAGATGGGCAAGGGTCGCTACATCAGGCCAGCACCTAATCCGGGACACCCTTTCCCCAACTCTCACTTGTACCAGCCGCCAGCCAGAACCCATCGGGGCTGAAGGTCAGGCAGTCCACGGAGCCCCTGGCACTCGGACCCGTGGGTCGGTCCTCCACCGCAGAGAACCCAAAGCTGTTGGCGCCGTCGCCATCCAACCCATCTGGTGACGCCATCCGCTCGCCTGGATATGAACGAGAGTGGACTCAGCACCAGCACCAACACGATCACGTTGCAGCCGCCGCAGATGGGACAGCACACGACGCGCACACGTCACAGATCGCAAACATATGCAGATCACAAGGCTTCACAAGGCAAGCATGAGGCAGCGTACCACACATGCACCACATATAAGTACCTGGCTCTAGCTGCTGTAGCTGGATGCGGGTGGCTCCGTCCCAGAGCGCCACGTGACCGTCCAGAGAGCCGCTGGCAACCACCACCGCCGCCGCCGCCGTCTGAACGTGAATCTGGGCCTTCGCCGCCGTCTCCGCATCCACCCCCGCCACCAGCGCCGCCGTGGAATTAGGATCAGCGGTACCTGTAGCAGTGGCCGGTGCAAGTGGCCCTGACGGGTTGTTCTGACCCCAGGGGCTGTCAGCGCCTTCGGAGCCCCTTCGGCGGCGCTGGGTCTGGGACTGGGGTAGAGTCTGATGCCTGGTCTGGGCCGCTACTTGCGGCCGTACCGCCACGCAGTACACCCGGTCAGTATGACCCTCTATGAGGCCCACCTGGAAGATGGGGCCGGGGAACGCCGTTGCCGGGTGTGAGTAGCTGAGAGAGGAATTACAGAGCATAGTTGGATAGCTCCTAGGGGACGGATGCGGCGTTTCAAACCGCACCCCCGCTACCAACGCAACTAAGAGGTGTAACTGATAGGAGCGCAGACCCTGAATTGAAGTGAAGTGATTCTGACGGGGGGAAGTCCTCGGTACGGCACACATCTGGGCACTTGCCTGGCCTCCAGTAACCGGCGACAACATGTGCACCTTCTTATCATCTGTGTATTTGCGTGTTGGCGGGAGGAAACGGGGGGAAACGGGGCTTCAAGGGGAGGTGCCGCAAGGGGGGGGAGCCACCGAAGGTCGGGCGCAAGGCACGAACACAACAGGACAGGGCCAGTGAGGGAGAAGGAGGCAGCGGGGGGCCGGAGTGCGTGGGAGAGCGTCATGTAGAGGGCGGGAAGGTTATACGACAACGGGAGGCTGGTGTACGGCAGATCAGGTGCGGCACGGGACGAGGGGCTGCCGCAAGCGGGCGCCTCATGCGAACTGCAAACCACATCCTGATGATCCCTGAGACACGCGCGATTAAAAAAACGTGCAGGTCAGGGTGAGAGATACCTGACCCCAATCGATTCTTGATGCATGCTGAGGTTACGGATCGTCCAATCCAATCGGTTCGCATTGGGTACGACGCTAGGAATCGGTTGGGAGGTCTACCAAGGTTGGGAGGTCTACCAGGCTGCCAGCCTGCCAGCCTGCCAGCCTGCCAGCCTGCCAGCCTGCCAGCCTGCCAGCCTGCCAGCCTGCCAGCCTGCCAGCCTGCCAGCCTGCCAGCCTGCCAGCCTGCCAGCCTGCCAGCCTGCCAGCCTGCCAGCCTGCCAGCCTGCCAGCCTGCCAGCCTGCCAGCCTGCCAGCGTCCCAAAACGCTCAAGTCAGGTGTCAACGGCCTCACCGCAGGCCGTGACCAGCAGCCCAGGCTCCGGAACCCACGCTAGGCCCCGCGTCACACCGCGGCTCTGCACCGTCAGCAAACACGCGTCCCACGCCGGAGGAGGATTGCTGAGGGGAAAGGCCCGCGGCCAGGACGTCCCGGCCAGCTGCGCCACGGCGGCGACGGTGCCTACCGCCGCCGGCGGCACCCGCGCAGCGGACAGCGACCCAGAAGACTCGAAGCCAGGTCTCCGTGCCGCCGCTCCTGTACTTGAGGAGCTTGGGGCCGGGCGGCTACACGGCGGCGACGGCGACGGCGGTGAGTGCAGCTCGCTGGCGACAGCATCGACGGCAGCTCCGGAAGCCGAGGCGGGGCGGGCGGTGGTGTTGATGGTAACGGTGGTAGCGGGACCTTGAGGCGGGTGAGGCGGTGACAGCGCTGCCAGGGCCGCGGCGCGGATGGGTGAGGCGGCGGGGAGTGCCAGAGCGGACTGCAGGATCGCCTGTGTGGCATTGCGGCAGCGGTGTGGTTGGGGAGTGGGCTTTGGTTCGTGCGGGAGCATGGGGGAGCGGGAAGGAGGGAAGGGGGGAAGGGAGCTGGGAGCTGCTCCGGGACCATACGACCTTTCGCTCGTCAGATGCGAATCAGGTCTGGTCAGGTCAGGTCGGCTCTTCGACCTGTTAGATGTTGCGTGATCGTGTGGCCACCCATCACGCGTAACAATTAACTTACCAGTCCCGATAAACATCTGAGAAAGCGAGAGGAGATGTGTTTTCGGTGTCCGGGATAACTCACCTCAGAGTCAAAAACCTAGGCCACCACACCCACGTGCTATTCGAGGCCAACTTGTGCCCCGCATAACCCGCCCCCTTCTCCCCCAAGCAAGCTGCCGATACCGCCAGCTGCACACGCCAGCTTGTCTGCCTCCTGGCGCTTCGCGATCCAACCCCTTGTGTGGAGCCGACGAAAGCCCGGAATTTCTTAGAGCACGGACGTACGGCTCTCCGTACGTACCTGGGGGAATCGCAGCAGGGAGCCATGGTAAGATTGCAGCCACCGCGCGGCATCGGCGGCCAATGATGCAGCCGTCCCTGGAGTCGCCGTCGGCCCCGCCGCCGCCGTCACCCCCGCCGCTGCGAAGACAGCCTCGTGGCGCAGCAGCGCCGCCAACGCGACGGCCGCCGCTGAACCATCCTGGTAAACGCAGCGCCAGTAGTAGAAGTCCAGGAGCAGCGTCTGGAGCAGCGTCAGGCCACCTGCTTGGCAGTAGCAGCACCAGCACCAGCAGAAAGAACTAAGAATTGAAAGAGAGGTGGACCATGCAATCGCAATCGTACATCCAACCACTTTTAACGGATTTACGTCTCTCCTGCGTATGGGCATGACGTGCACGATGGGCATGACGACGGTAAGAGGCGAGGAGAGCCCTCAACGGGTGGCGGTTTTGAGGACGATGATGGTGCGAGGGGCTGCGAGACTCCCCTCAGGTCCCCTCAGGACGACGCCAGGAAGGTCCTAGATCTTCCGGTTCTCGGGTTGGCTGCTGCTCGTCATTACGCGCCGCCGTGCATCAGGGCCCCCAGGTGCGGCCGCAGGAAACAGGGCCGCGCCTCCACCTTTCCCGGACCAATCCTGGCTTTCCTTTTCGGCATGCAAGGCGCTGGGAGGGGAGGGGAGGGGGGGAGGGGGGGAAGGGGAGGGGCGGGCAGCGGCCAACTCGCGCGCGCACCTTCACCGTCCCCGTCAGCCACCAGGGAGGCCGCCGCCTCCAACACGTGCCCCACGGCGTGCTGCAATGAGTACGGATCGGGGCCACGGGGACCACGCGCGCCGCCGCCGCCACTGCCGCCGCCGCAATTACCACTGGCGGCCGCAGCTGCCGCCGCCTGCGAGGCCCTTGAGGCAGCCACGTCCCGCAACGTCATCGCTGCCAGCGCCGCGTGCCCGCGGCGGAGGCCGCGGCCGCCGCGGCCGCCACCCGCCGCTCCGCCGGCAGCGGCGCCGCCGCCCGCGAGCAGTCGGGTCACTTCCTCGGCACCGTCGGCCGCCAGCCACTCGAAGAGAGACCTGCCGGTTGGTGTCATCATGGAGAGTATACAACATGTACGGCATGGCATGATATCGCAACCACTGCCAACCACTGCCAACTGCCTATTCCCACCCAGCGCGGGAGTATCTGTACCCCCCGCGGGTCAGGGCACGCACCTGTGTATACCGTGTAGCTTGTAGCCACGCACGTTGACCAAGCAGCCCAGTCGCAGACCGGCAGCGGAGGTGATGGCGGTTCCGGAGCAGATCTCAGAGAGCCCCACGTCCTTTAGTTGGGAGAGGTAGAGCGGCTCGCGGGCGGCGCCCAGGACCTGGAGGACGGTGCATGCCATGCCATGCCTTTCGTACCTTTTGTCGTACCATGTGCCGTGCTGGTCAGAATTAAAAATTCAGACTCACTGTGTTGAAACTCCATCTCATACTCTCGAATGAACACACAACCTGGAACGTCAAACTCCCGTAACTTTTATCCATTCTGTCCGTTAGAAAGTAAACCAACGCCGCCAGCAAGGCAGCAACCAAGCCTGCGTGAGGGTATATGCATGTATGCTGTACGGGCTCGTCTTCTTGTCGTCGTGGACCTGGAGCCAGCTGGAAACTCGATCTGGGTCACTTAGCTCGTCACGCGACTCACTCTCATCAACACGCAACTCCATTGAAACCAGCAGCACCCATCGAATCGCAACCGCACCTCCAGAAGTAACGCCAGCTGCAGTGCTGCGCGGGGTTCCCCCCCCGGGGCTCCCAGCGGCGGCCGCCGCCCCGCCGCGGCACTTCCGCCGGCCGCCGCCGGCGCCGGCGCCACTAGCACCCTCACGTAGAGAGAGTACAGCAACGGCGCGGCGCGGGCAGCTGCCGCCGCTTCCAGCTCAGCCACAACGGACGCGAGCGCTGCCTCCAGCGGCGGCGACGGCGGCGACGGCGACGGAGCTTGCGCTGACTTGCACACCGTCCGCGGGCTTGGCCCTGAGCCGTCGGCGGCGGCGACGGCGGCGGCGGCCGTTGCCTCCAGCACGTCTTCTGACAGCCTTAGAAAGAGCATCCAGCCGCTGCTTGCCTGCAGGATTTAACGTTAGTCAGGATGGATGGAAAACCTCCCCAAGTCTTGAAGCGGAAACGCCGCCCAGGCCCTTTGAATCCGCCTGCGCCAGGGCCCGGGGGCCCGGGGGCCCGGCGCTGCGCAGCTGCAATCCGTTCTATTGACTGATCGGGAGACCCGACGGCTGTTGGGGTAGCTCTCGACAGCTCTGTGGAGGGATCCCCCCCTTTTTGGGGGCTGTTTCGCGGCCCAGGTGGGAGTTGCACATCCCCCTGGTAAAGCGCTGGCCCGGAGAACTTTACCCCTGACGGCCCTGACGGCCCCAGTCCCCAGCCCACTCACCTTCCAAAGCCTCTCCGCCAACGACCCCACCCACACACCAGCATCCCTGCCGCCGCCGCCGCCGCCACCGCCGCCGCTTCCAGTTCCGCTTCCAGAGGCAGGTTTATCAGCGGCGGTCGTCGCTGCCCCCGATCTCTGTAAGGCAGCCATCAGCTCAGGCCGCCGCGACAGCCGTGTCGCTAGCGCGGCAGCACACACGGGCGCGGGCGGTCTCAAGTCCTCAGGTGCAATGACCCATGGGTCGAACTTGTGGGCCAACAGGGCGCGGATGTGCGAAAGCGGCCGAGCCGTTACGATGAGCCGTACGAACGGCGGCAGGCGGGGGAAGTGCTCCTGCGCGGAGGGCGGGCGGCCAACAGGACCGCAAGGGGACATTGAGGGAGCTGCATTCGCGGCTTGGTCTTCCTTTCCTTAAGAGCGCGAAAAATGACTTAGTTACGAACCAACGAAGGACCCACAACAACCCATGTCTTCAGACGTATCGCCACACACACCCATACATACGTACATACGTACATACATACACACCTGCAACAGCAACAACATCGCGTTCTCGTGTGATCCGCCGACGGCCCCCGAGTCCCCTTCGTCGATTGCATCCAGCAAGATGACCAGACGTGGCAATAGCGGTGATGAGAGCGGCAGCGGAGGCGGCGGGGACGTTGCTGCCGCCTCTGCCGCTGCCCCATGAGCGGTCTCCGCCTGCTGCGCCTGCACCTCGTCCACATCCTCAGAGCCGGGGTTCACCTGGCCGGCAGCGGCGGCAGCTGCAGCGGCTATTTGTACGGCATCCTCGTATGACTTCCATAACAGCTCCAGCGGCCGTAGCAGCAGTGCTTCAAACGCCGCCGCCACCGGGTCTTGTCCACCGCCGCCATCCCCAGCCCTCCCGCCGCCGCCGCCGCCGCCGCCGGCCACGCCGCCGCCCTCCGCGGCAGCCATACCGGCAATCACCCGGAGCTCAAAGCCGCTGCCGCTGTCGCCATCATCTCCGCCGTTTCCACCTCGGCCACCGCCGCCGCCGCTGTCGCCCTTCCCAAGCTCGAATGCGTAGTAGCTCTGCAATGGTGGTTTAAGGGGGCAGTATTACAAGGGAGTCAAGATGAGGGCAGCAGCCAGGGGAGTGCGCCGCCTGCCCCTCCCCGTCCTGCCCTGGCCCCAGCCCCACCTGGAGCTCCTCCGGGAAGAGAAGGCACAGCTGGTAGGCCAGAGTGCACATTGCGGCCAGAGGATCAAGAGCCTGAGAGGGGCCAGACATGGTAGCAATGAGGAGGAGGGAAGGGAGGAGAGGAGGGAGGGAAGGGAGGCGGGAAGGGAAGAGGGAAGGGAGGAGGGAAGGGAGGAGGGAGGGAATGAGGGTGGGGAGGAGGGAGGGAAGGGATGCACGTGCAAGTCAGTTCACGACGTGACGGATCCGCCGCCGGGATGATAGTGAGGACCCGAGTAAAAAGGTGGGGAAAATCTCGGCGACGGTCATCCAGCAGCGGTCTGCCGTACAACCGTAAAATTGCCGTGTCACGCTGTTGTCTGCCGTACTGCGCCGTACAGCATGCTCATTGCTCCGTACCTGCAGGTTGTTTGCACGGCAAAAATGCATCGCGACGGGTAGGGGGCCCTCTGCCGCCGCCGTCATGCTCCTTCCTCGCCTCCTCCGCTGCTCCTCCGCCTCAGACGCGGGTATTGGGCTCATCGTCATCGTCATCATGCGCTTCACTGCGGCGGCGGCGGCGGACGACTTGCCGGTGCCGGGTGCCCCTAGCAGGGCCAGCGCCCGGTAGTTCCTGTGGGATGGCGCCAGACCCAGCCACGAGTCCAGGGTAGCAAAGTCCTGCGGAAGGGCGTTAAAAAGGACAAAAGCGGCCACCCGTAATGGCCACACCAGGAGAGTCACGGCTGCGGACAAAAGGCTGGGACGAAGGCTCGAAAACACACCGGCCCACTCCCAAGGGTCCCCCTACGCTGGACTGAACTGCTTCCTGTGGTAAAACTGCTGCTGTTATTTTCGCCACCGTCCTCCACAGCCATATCATTCTCTAGGCCCAGCTCATTGCTACCATTGCTCCCATGTGTTCTGTCTCCTGTCTGTCAGTCGGTCACAGTACCCGCCACAAAACAAACTACAGGCAGTGGAACGGGGCCACCACCACACCACCACTACCATACCTGCTGAGTGCCCACCCCGCTGCCCCAGTAAAAACTGATGTAAGACCGGTTCTTCCTAACCCTTTCTCTTTCCCGTTCGTTACCGGCCTCTCACCCAGTCCTGCGGCGGGACCGCTTCCGCCGTGCTGATCGCCGACCCATGGGTCAACGACCCATGGGTCACCGGCACCGCTGTGTCCGTAAGTGCCGCCAGCTCGCTCTCATAGTCCAGCGGCCGCAGCAGCAGCGCACAGCGCACGGCGGCGTTGAAGGCGGTGACACCCCCCGATGAGCGGGCGATGTCGGCCAGGATGCGTTCCTTGTCGGAGGGTACGGTGGCCTTGGCAGTGGCGGCGTCGATCTGGGGCAGGCCAAAGCCCGCAATACACCATGGCAAGGGCGCAGACCGGTTGTTACAGTCAAGGTTGCACGATCAGCCTCAGCTTGTACGACAGCCTCAGCTCTTTCATGGGCCGCCGTCGACCAGGACGTAGGCTGGGACTAGCTTAGCAAAGTGGGACTCGGAACATACATCGACAACGGATTCTTCAGTTCCCTTAGCCCAGTTCGCTGCGTCCTTGCCACGGTTGTAATACGTCCGCATGCCGACTCCATCAGTGGCCAACATACACATACCAACATACACATACCAACATACACATACCAACATACGAACATGCAGGAGCCTGGACACGCGAATGGCCAAACCACAGCAGTAGCAGTAGCAATCCACCACCGCTGGGGCCACAAACTCACTAGCACCTAGCCTGGCTTGCCGTACACATACCCACCTGGCCGTACAGTTTTGCACGCTGAGCTGCCGACAGTCCCGTCGTCAGCACCACAAGTGCCTGGCTTCGACTGCGGACGGAACCGCCAGCCCCGCCGCTCTCTATCACCCCACCCTCGCCGCAGCCGCCACCGCTGCCGCTGCCGCTACCCTTACAGCTACTTCTGCTGGGGACGCTATCGTCATGATCCGCAGCAGCGGTGAGAGTTGTCCACATCTCAAATAGGCACCAGATGCGCTCAAAAGGGGCCCCTGCATAGGGACGGCGTAGAAGGAACGAGGAGGAGGAGGAAAACCCTCGGCACATACCTCATACCATAAAACCTGCCGCAGCACGCAGACCGTAGCCCCAAAGCCGCTTGCCACGTCCTTGTTTGTTTCCTCCATCGCTGCTTCAAGCCCTGTCGGAGACAGCTTACATACCTGCCGCGTCCGTGCAAACCAGGGTGACCACCGCGTCCTGCACCGCCAGCCTCAGCTGCTGCAGGTCGTCCGCCTGCTGCTGCCCGGGATGCTGATTGATGATGAAGATGTCGCACCACACGTACGTGTCCTCCGGAACTACGATACGGCATACCACACCACACCACACCACACCCGAGGTGGGTAAGAATTTGGATCCCTTTTGAAAGAGACATAAGGCCCTCGGTTGGATCTTATACGTACAGGGTTGGTTGGTTGGTTGGTTGATGGACACGCACACCTACATGAAGGCATTGGGGTGTTAGGAGGGGCATACCTGCTCGCGACGCACCTCGTCAAACCCCTCCCCTCTTTTTTGTGGCACCCGCCTGGTTTTAGGTTTTATGAGTTGTGTTTCCGGCGCGCACAGTGACATGCGTCAGCGGCTATCTTTTATCCGCAGCTTAGCGTTTTTTGACAGCATACATGCGCACATGCATACATGCATACATGCATACATGCATACATGCATACACGCAAACAGTCTTTCCGCCCGAGTGCGACCCCACCAGCCCTCTCCCACCAGCGCCTCGAAGGTAGTGCGCACACAGTCCCACCATCTCCCGGAAAGGCCGCCCTGTGGAAGTAACCAAACACCGAGCGAGGCAGATTTGGGCGATGGAGTACTAGCGACCAGGGCCTCAACCCCCTAGAAACAAAAAAGGTGAAGCGCGCCAAGGCCCAGGCACGTCTGTAGCATGCGTGACGGTGCCAACTAAGCGAAGTGCTAGGATGCCGCAGTAAGGGTAGCAAGGATTCATCGTTCAGCCCGGCGTTTAGTCGTTCAAAGCCATTTATAATTCAGTCATGCCCAGCAGGGGGGGGAGGATGAAAAAGAACCCCCAGAAACACCCACCCCATGCGTGACTGATGAAGTAGTAGTCGGAGCGTTCGGGCGGTATCGTGTGGCGAAACACCTCGGGGAGGTCCACATAGCTGCGGGGGGAATAAGTAAATAAGCTAGGGAATAAGTATGTAAGGAAATACGGTCAGGCGGGGTGGAGGTAAGGAAACGGAACAACAGCTGCAACCCCGGGTGCTCCCCTTCCAGCTCTGGAAAACCGCCCCGGCCGGCGGACACGAGCTAACCCCGCGTTCACGCTGCTGCGGGGGCGGGGATTTTACGTAGCATGCAGCGTGCCGTACAATGTCGTACCGTATGGTTTCCTGCAGCGTGTGGGGCTTGATTAGCTCCCCCACTACCGCCCAAGTGGGTTGTGAAGGGGGCACGTGACGTTCTGCAAAGTCTATCAGGAAGGCGAGAGACACTGCCAAGCTGCCAATGTGAGGCAGTCGGTGTCCGCGGGCGGCAGTGCAGGAGGCTGCCGAGCCCGCCGTGGAAGTGGCACCGGCGGCGCCGGCAGCCGCTATGACGTCGGCGTCTGCCTTATCACTACTTGTAGTAAGTGAGGATACGTTAGCCTGCGTCCTGGGGTCTCCACCAGAACTTCTGCTACCGCCACTGCTACTGCGATTGCTACTGCTGACAACATCAGGCTTTCCAGGGGATTCAGATGCTGCGGAAGAAGGGAACCGGGAGCGGGAAAGAGGGGAGGGTCCGGAAGCAGGGGGAAGCTATTTGGAAAGGGCAGGCGGTTGGATATCCGGCCGAAACACATGAATTCTGATGGGAGGAATGAACGCTTGCTTAATTAGTCCAGGACAAGGGCCGTGAATGGCATAGGCCTCAGCAAGGCTGCTGACGGTGTGGACAAAAGCCCTCGACCGAACATTTTCACGCAGCTTGGCAGTGTGTTGGTGTTTGTAGAGGCCATGAGCCTAGTGGGGACATGGTCCTTAATCAACAGATCATTTTTGTAACTTCATTCTGGCTCTGCGTGCTGGACCACGACAACACCACACGCCACGACCCTGGCGAAGACACCGGCCGTCCATCCTCACGTGGTACCCTGGTTTGTGTGTTTGTATGTGTGTATGTTTGTGCAATGTGTGCGTACCTGATGTTGCCCTTTTAGATCCAGACGCAGCACGCCGGGATCCGGATCCTAATCTTACAGGTCTTGCACCTAATTGGACGCATACGGAAGGCTGCGAGGGAGTGCTGGCTGCGGGCGTGGCGGGGTTAGCGCCATCAGTAGGAACAGCAGGGGACGCCGCAGCAGTGGGGCCGGCGCCTGGTTTAGCCTGCCAGCATGCAAAGCAGTAATGATTGTGAAAGCATAGGCATTACAGCCAGTAAACCAGAAAGGAAACTCGGGTTTTCATGTAGGTTTTTATCCGCAGTTCCGTATCACGTGTCGTGGGGTTTCCGGTATCCTGGTCATGTGGGCTTTAGAGCTGTGGACAGTGGAATAGTCGTGAAAAGCATTGAAGCAGTTGTGTTACCTTTGGGAGCAATGCCGGTATAGCGGTCTCGCGCTTGCATGAAATGCCCGAGCCCATGTTGGTGCGCCAGCGGGTAACGCCGTCAGGGGCCGCTTGGCAGTTTTAAATATTGCGGGTATTTAGGTGTTTCAATAACACACGTGCCAATTGATTGATCCAATACCTCACGATCGATACCTCAGGCCGCGCGAGGCAAGCTTGACTGGCAATTTTAAAGCTGAAATGATACAAGATTTTGCTTAGTAAGTCCAATTAAATTCGACTAATATGAGTCGGCGATGACAGCGTTGCTCGACAAGACAAGATGTAACACACATGAACAATTCCGGAGTCAGCTTTAGAACACACCTACGGCGTAGAACATGGGGAGTCTGTTACCAGATACTTTGAGTACTGCTAACCGTCTTGGCAATCCTGAGCGGTTACCGGGCGGTTGCAAAACCTAAACTGTACGACCAACTGCTCTCCGCGAAGAAGCTGCGAAGGTCAATTACTCTGGGTAGAGCTGTGAATTTACCTTTCCTAATCTTATGTTAGCCGGATTCTAAAGCTCATGAATGCAACAATATTAACGTTTTCTCTAGCCTTCGCTGAAGGCATCCTGAAGGATTGTTTGCGCTTTGGCCAGTGTAACCCCGACGCAGCATGTTACGCAAGGAGCAGTACTTCACCATGCCGCTCTTGGCTGACAGAAAATTGCACTTAGAAGGATTCAGAGGGCTTTACACCAGAGTACACTTGCCGCACTACATGGGTGCTGCGTGTGGAATGGTTTCATTCCCCCCATTAAGGAGGGTGACACGACGTATTATAAGTGCACGAGCATGGAGGACGTCCAATGCAGCGACTATGACTTCCAGTTCAGGTGAATCCGGACATCGGGCATTGAGGAGGGGAGACACACACGTTAGGATCTGGAGAACGCGTGCAAGCTGGGAGAAATCTGCGACCGGTGTGTAAAGGCGCATGTGTGTCACGATTTCCCCTCGCTTGGGCCGTGTGCAGACGCAACTGCCGTGGGCTGACGGAGCAGAGCGTCGCATTCGAATGGCGTCGGAGTGCATTTCGTGGAAACAGCTGAGGCACTGTTGCAGATATACGAACAGCGCTTGTACATGGAGGCGGTTACATGTCATTCAGTAAGTACGTTCACCAATCGGGCCGAGTACCTGTACGACTGCGCCAGGCTCACAACCTCCTGGCGGCGGCCAGGTTTGTTAGGCTGCTGTCACCAAGCGATGTGCGGCCGGTATCAGAGCGTCAGGTGGGGACAGTGGTCAGGAGTGGGCCTCTCAGCGGGCCATGGCATGTTATGGGGGACCGTTATGTGCCATTTGTTCCGGGGAAAATAATTCGTAGGTAGGGCTTTGATTTCCGTATGGATGCGCCCGCTCAAAGATAAATTTCCAGGGTGATCACCGTAGGTGCTTTGTGGCAGCGACTTTGCGGTCCTAAAATTGTAAGTCGATCCGCATCCGTCAAGTTTATGTCATCAGACAGCAGGTGTCAATTGGACACGTGGGGCGTTGCAGGAAGCCGAGGTCAAGGGCAAGTAGTAGGCAAGTTGTGTGCCCGCTTGGACCATGCAAAATCGGTGGAGCCATGAAAGGTGATAGTGGCTTTGCCTACATGCAGAAGAAGTGGAGTCCTATTTATGCTTAGAAAGTCATTGCACAAGCCATTGCGGTTAAAGCATGTGTACGCAACATGCGGATCCTGGATGTGGATCCTGGAAATTGCGCAGCTTTATGTTTGGCTCAGCTATGTCATTAGACGCCGTTTTTTCCAGATAGGTTGCAGCAGCATTTCAGATGAACGTATTTGAATTGGGTTGCAAAATGCGGGCGTCGTTCTGGGACTAATGTGCAAAGACTCATCTACAGGGCACCGATATCACGAAATTCTTATTCCATGTCGGGCATCAGCGATGATGATAACGATTTTGTCCCCGTCCAAAGTAAACGCCAGCGCATTTCTGCTCCACAACCTCTCCGAAAGCAAAGAGCCAGCACAAGCCACAAACCTACGCCAGCACAACTCCATGGAGGCGTTGTCCAAGGCGCTTTCTTGCCTAAGGGATCCACCTGGTTGGCCGCGAGGTCGCATAGACTTCAGCAGTCAATCATAGATGGACACTGCACAGAGCCTCATTCCGCCACCGGTGTGCCGGCCATCTCAAGGACACCCCTTAGAAGCCTACCACCTGTCTCAGCAACTCTTGGTTCTCTTCCAGCCACAACGGAAAGAGATCAATCCACCAGTGGTCCGGGCCCCTCTGCCACCGCGCATGAGACCTCCTCCGGTGGGCCAAGCACCGCAGCGACCTGCCTACCCTGTCGCCTAACCTCCAATTCGACCCACCTGTAACAAGCTTCCATCTTGCAAATTGACTTCCCTAACAGCTCAAAGCACACAATAGCTCATCCTTCACACACCCGAACTCATCCCTCACACAAAAAGCTGTCATCGTTTTGCAGGGCGTTCGCGCCCTTAAACCCCTCCCCCAAGCCACCATCCTCCCTCTCCCTCCACCATCCCACCTGCTGCCTCCGGTGTCCTATCCCGCAACAGGCTTGAGCACACGGAGGGGCTCACTGCGTCTCAGCTGCACGCCAGCACACCCCGGCGCTCCCACTGCACCGGTGGATAGCAGCGGCACCGGCGGCCTGGCCGCAGCCTTCTCCCGCCTCCCAGACCCTGGAGCCCCGTCATCATCCGCATCCGCCAATCCCTGGCCTGCCCGTCGCCTCTCTGATCCCAGGAAATCCAGACTCGCGTCGCGCCGCAGCGATGGAGCTCTGGGTTTGGACCTGGGGGGGCAATGCGTCCCTGCCGCGTTGCAGTCTGCTGTAGCGGCCACCATGGCTGTAGCAACCTCAAACTCCGGAACGCCAGGCTCCGCAACGCTACGGCCGCAGCCGTCACGGTTAGCTGCAGCAGTTATTGCTGTAGCTGGAGCTGCAGTGGAGCCAGCAGGCGGTGGAGAGTCCGGGCGTGGTGGAGATGGCGGCTGCAGCGCCACCCCGTCTGCAGCTGCTACTGCTCCGTGCTGCTGCCCCATCTGCGGCTGCGACCTGGCGCAGGTGTCCGATACAGCTACTGGTCGGGAAGCACACGTCAACGCATGTCTAGATGGGGCGGCTGGGAGGGCGGTGGCAGGGGCATCACCCGCGGGAGGACGACAAGGCGGAGGACACGGCGGCGATGCGGGTGGTGGTGGCACGGCGGCGGCAGCATTGGCTGCCGCGGCTATGGCTCGCAAGACCGATTTGAGACCGCGGGGGATGTTTCCGGATGGTGCCCCGCTGTGCCCTGGCGGTCAAGGCGGCCGTGGGGCGGTAGGGATAGCACCCCCAGAAGCGGTGGTGGACTTGGGGCCACGAGGCCAGCGAGGTGAAAATGGTGATGGTGGTGGTGGTGGTACCGGTGGTATTGGTGGCAAGGCGGAGGGGCCCGGCTGTGGTGGAACTGGCTGGAGGCTGGAGAGCACGGCGCCAGCAGTGGAGGTTGAGTTGCTGGAGAGCGACGAAGAGGATGAACTGGAAGAGAAGAGGGAGCTGACGCCATCTGTAGGTGCCGCAGCAGCGGCACATGCGGTGGAGGGGATGCCTGGTTTGAAGGGGCATGTGGGGAGCGCATGGACCCCGGGGACAGGCGGCGGCGGTGAGATTGCCGGAGTGGCGGCGGCCGGGGAGCAAGGGAATGCGACAGCAGGGCGATCCGGCGGCGGCGGTGGCGGCGGCGAGATGGCCGTCGTCCTCGGGGTAGAGACGGAAGCGGAGGTGGGCCCTATGGATGAGGACGTTTCGGCCGCGGCGGTGGCGGCGACAGCTCATGACGAGAACCAAGATGGAGATGACAGGTGGCCATTGCTAACGCAGGTGCCCCCGGAGATGGCATTGCCGTACCACGGTCATGGAGCGGCGCGTCTCCGTACAGGCGGCGTGTCTCAGTACGCGGAGGGCCACAGCACTGGCTGCTGCCCGGCACAGAAAGCGGCGGACTGCGGCGGGCGGCAGGCGCGAGCTGAAGGAGGTCCGGATGGTGGCAGACGTTCGTGGGTGTGGGAGGCAGCCGCCGCCGCCACCCTGGATGCCCCCGGCCTCGGGTCCGTGCCGGAGACGGAGCTGGGTGACAACGGTGGTTGTGATGGCGATTGTGATGATGGTGGCGGCGCTGGTGGTGGCGGCTACGCACAACAGGATGACGCTCTGGCGGAGTTTGCCGCGTGCTTTGGCGAGGATGTCGATGCTGAGGGTTGGGGGGATGGCCATATCCATGATGGTGATGATGCTGGTGATGGTGATGGGCAGCTGCCTCCGCAGGGGGGTGAGGACGAGCTGGAGGTCGACGGCGATGATTTTGTGGCCGCGTGGTAAGGCCTGGCGTGCCGCGAGTGAGGGGAAGTTGTAGGTGGGGGGATGTACGGGGGGTTACATGAAAAGCGACACCCGTACGGCGGCAGCCATGGCGGTTTTGGGGGTGTGTTCCACGGGGCGGGCGGGTTACGGAGGCTCCAAGTCAGCTGCCGCTGTGTTTCGCCATGGCCAACAACACCTGGGCCGCCCCGACCGCCGCCGGGCGATTGTGATGACGGTTCCTTTCGCGTGCTCCGTCTCTTCTTATGTACATGATGGCGCTGGGACCGCATCCATCTGCAGGCGCGTGCACCCAGTAACAGTACGTCGTGTGTATGTCATGGATACGGGAATACGTGCGCACCGGCTATCCTGACGCAGGTTGTGTCGCCACGGGCTGCAGAGGTGGCTGCCCCGCTTCCGGGATGGTGAGGTTGATGAAGCGGTGGTTCCGGAGCTCAATGACACCGATCTGCAGGTGGGTGGCCGGGTAGCGTGGGTGGGGCCACAGCGGTGGCAGCGGCAGCAGCTGTAGTACCCGGGGCTTGCCTGTTGCGAATGCATTCGGAATCGCCGGCGCTGATTCCCTTAGGCCTCCGGAAACTGACCCTACATGAAAACCCACTTCCATTTCCACCACACACCGCAACACCACACTCACCACACACACGTCCCAAGGCCCTGCTCCTACAGTCAACTGACTCCGCCACTCCGCATCCACCAACCAATTCCCTTACCTCACCCCCATCCTGGCGGGCAGTGCATCGATTTTGCATATAGTTCTCCTTCGGGGATACATTTTGATATTGGCCCCTGCTTGCCCCACGAAATGGCGGTTCTGCCTGAGGAGCCTTACTGCTTGCCTACCTGCCTGCTTGCTTCCCTTTTCACATCGACCTACGGCTTGCGCCGATGTGGCGGCATGCACTCACACAAACATACACGGCCCGTAGGGACTAGGCATTGACTCGCCTCGCGCACGAGCGGCGATCCTCGTCGCCGCCCGGGACTTCGTTGTCGCGTCGGGGCCGGCAGCGCCCATAGACCCACCGCAAGCCGTCGGCGCAGTCGACCCATCCGCAGCGCCGGGGCCGCCAGCTGGGGCTGGGGCTGCCCCCCTGCCCCGCGGAGGCCCTGCACCGCCGCCACCAGGACACCGGATGCTGGGGCCCCAGCCGCGCCAGCTCTTAATCCCCCCGGCAGCTGGTGCTGGTGCAGCCGGTGGCGGATGGGGCCCCGCTGGCAATGCACAGCTGCAACAAGGGGCTGGAGGGATTGCACCGCGGCCGCGGCCGGCGGTTGGGCCTGGACAGCCTTTCGCGGCCATGTTCCTCGCCCGTCCCGCGGGACCTGTCCGCATCACCAGCTTCTTCCGAGCGCCTGGTGCCGCGGGCGACCCGGGAGGCGGCGTCGGGACCCCGCCTGGGGGGCCGGGAGCAGCAGTACCAACAGCAGCAGTAGCGAGGGGCACCGGCTGGGGCGGCCGCGCTGCAGGGCAACAGCAACAACAACCACAACAACGTCATCATTCCGCAGTCGTCCTTGCGGGGGGACAGGTGTCGCTTCCACGGGAGCAGCCGCTGCCGCCGCCGCAACAGCAGCAGCAGCCGGTCTTGGCGGCCGGCGGCGCCAGGCCCTCTGGCCGGCTACCCCGTTGGGTCCCCGAATGCCATACCCTTCCCGGAACGCGGTGCGGGAACTCACTCGCCAACCCACACATGCCTTCTCACCTAACCCCTACCCCACCCCGCCCCACCGCACCCCACGCACATCTACCTCCGCTTGTGTCGTACAATACCACGTCGCGATACGGCACCGCATGTTTCACGTGCTGTTAGTGGCCGCGTGTTGCACTTTTATCCGTGGATTGAGTTGACCCACATCGCCCTGTAGCCATGGTCGAGTAGGAGCGCCTGCCTGCGTGAAGCACTATCGCTTACAGTGATAGTTCCCCCACGAGCTGCACGGGTGTCGGGTGTTTGCCCCTAAGTAAGGCGCCCCCCCCCTTGCGCACCCGCCACTCGCCATCGCCGCAGTATACTGGTGGACTTCTTCGGGCCGTCCAGTAAATCCATAACTGCCGCCGTGTCACCTTTCCGCATCCTAACCCACTTCCATGCAGATCACTACAAGGTACGGCAATGTACGGTGTACAGCAGTGTTCACGCATGTGATTGCGAGGAGAGGTCTCCTGAACGAAGATATCCCTCCCTCGTGTCACCAGCTGTCATACACGCGACTCTGCCCAGGGAATGGGAGAGATCCGTCCGCCGAACAGGGCCCGCGCGACGCGCGTGTGTTCTTTGCGTTTTGCTTTGTGCTGTCCACCTCCCTGCCTTTCCGCGGAGGCCCCCAAAGAAAAACCCAGGTTGCACAACGTGCAGCACTGTAAGTTCCCCCACTCTTTCTTTCCCCCCCCCCTTGCATCGATCCCCCAGCCGCAATCCGCACGGAAATCACTGTTTTCCGGAAACCCTCCCCACACCGTATCCCCTATCTGAAGGGCCTTACGCGCAGCTTTGCCGGCGGCACGGTTCTCGCCTCGCCCGTCACTGCCCGGCTGGTTTCGGAGCGTCTGAAGCTGCCCGCCGCCCGTCTGAGGACCCTGCCCATGGACACTCCCGTGGAGGTGGACGGTGGGTTGTGCGGAAGTACGGACTACCTTCAAGGGCGGGTTTCGGAGCCCTGCTGTACTGCTTGTCTAGCCTGTAGGGCCCCTACCAGGGCAATGGAAAGGTCGATGCATCCGAGGACTGGAGGGGTGGGGTGCGGAAGTTGGGGGCTTTTTACATAAATACATGAACACATACATAAATACACACGTATGCACCTTGTCCCCCCCTCAGGTGTATGCCTGACTCTGGTAGACGCCAACCACTGCCCGGGTGCCGCCATGGTGGTGGCTCAGCCCCCGGGGGGTTGGCCCCCCGTGCTGCACACAGGGGACTGCCGACTGGGGGACCACATGCGCAACCATCCCGCAATGCAGGTGCATGGGGGGGGGGGAGAGCTAGCTAGCGCGGAGTATCGGGGTAAAGAGGCGGGGCAAGAGGGGGGAGAGAGCGGGGAGAGAGAGTAAGGAAAGGGGATTGCACCGCTCCTCATATCCGGGGCCCTGTATTGATACCCTCATTCCTCCGGACCTCTCCCCCACTTCGACCTCCCCCCTCCCGACCTCTTCCCCCGGACCCCGGGGCCCAACCCCGCCCACACCTCAGTTGCTTGTGGGCCGGCGCTGCACACTGGTGCTGGACACCACGTACTGCGACCCGCAGTACGAGTTTCCCCCGCAGCGGGCCGTACTGGATGCAGTGTTGGAGGTGAACGCCGCAGGGAGGGGTGGGGTAGAGGGGGGAGGGGAAACCGGGGATAAGGGCGCCGGCCGGGGAAGGGGGGAATATGGTTGGAACGGGGCACTGGAAAGGAACCGGCACTGACCGGCATACCGACATACTGACTGGCAGGCGGCTTCGGATAGTGCAGTGGAGTGCGGTCAGTGGAATGGACGAGTCGCCTCGGTCGGTGGGTCGGTGGGTCCGTGCAGTTCCGGAGGCTCATAGATAACCCGGCTTATGGCTCTGGGCGACTCCCTGTCGCTGTCATAATAGGTGATGTCCTCTAGCCCTGAGGATCCTCCGCGCACGTGTATCCCTCCCAACACCGCTACCAAGCCGGCCTGGGGCCGCCTCCCCGGGCTCGGCTTCCCCCTGGCTTGGACCGCCCTACTTGGGCCCTTGGTGGGGCCTGTTCACCCCGCGGCTATGTCGGTTCCCCAACCCCCGGGTCGATGGCTTCGTCGCTAAGGACTTCAGCTATTTCGGACTTTGGACTTTGGGCGCCCCAGCAGTTCATATTTCTGAGTTTCTCGCATATGATATCCCCCCCTCAGGCTGTGAAGGCGGAGAGCTTCAATAAGAGGTGAGACTTCGACGGGGGAGGGGGAGGAGGTGGTACGTGGGGAGTGGGGGGTGGGCGAGTGGCGGTTGTGATTTGGTTTGGAGGGCTGTAGGCGAGGGGCAAAAAGCTGCCATACCCGGGCACACATGGGCACGGAGATGAGCTGGGTGACCCATGGAGCCGCGCCGGCGGAGAGACAGGTGGCCACCACAGCGCATCTTATCATTGGAAAGGGGGGGGTGAGGGGCACATGGCTCGGCTTTCATCTAGTCCCGTCCACCACCACCACCACCATTACCACCACTACCACCGCTAGGACCACCACCACCACCACCGTTACCATCACCCTATCTAACCTTTCTCAATCTCAGCTTCCCTTCGGCTTCCCCCTCCCCCTCCCCCTCCCCCTCCCCCTCCCCCTCCCCCTCCTCGCCATATACCCCGGGGGCAGGGCGCTGTTCGTGTTCGGCACGTACACCATTGGCAAGGAGCGGTTGTTTCTGGAGGTGGCGGCGGCAATGGGGCAGAAGGTGCGCCCAAGCAGGGGGAGGAGGGGGGTGTGTGGTGGCGGGGTGGGGCTGGCATGCGCACTGCGCACGTGAGGAGGGACGGCCCACAATGATCCTGATGGCGCATTTTCGCTGGCTGCTGCTGGTGCATCAGCCGCTAGCGTAGCTACGACAACAGTCAACTGGGGCCTGGTCCAGGCATATGCCGCGGAAAGCGGCAGCACTAGTGGGAATAATATTTACCCCTGTCAGGCCGGTATGTCGGCACCCACTTGCATCTCACTGGCCACTAGTCGGTTACATCTTCAGTTACATCTGGCTTCAGTTACATCTGGCAGCCGTAGTCTTGGATATTGGCACGTCAATGCGGTTGTGATTGGTTGCTTCTTATATGCATGTACTTGGTTATGTGCGTGTCCTGTTAGGCTCTGATGTAGGTGGGGCAACCGTTTCCTTGCCGGCTACATGTGCTACATATGGCATATTTGTAGTGTTCGTCGCGCTGTGTCTCTCAGAAAATGCAGATCCTGCATGCACTAGTACCATCCATGGCCACATCCAACAAACAAAACAAAACCTCACCGTTCTACTCAACCGATGCTAGTCGGGCGGGCTGACTGCAACGAGTACGTGGCCAACGGCGGGGACCAGCAACAGACAGAAGCAACGGATGCACAGTAATTCCATGCCGCCGCCTTCGTGTTGCTGCTGTGCTGTCCCGGCATGCATGTTCTGACTAGCTACGACCAAATATACCCCATGTACACGTGCACCAACGTAGATGTATACACACAAATATTAATGCACGCATGTACCCAAGATTGTGGTTGAACATGTATAAGACAATCTAATTTAAATACTGTGCTCATGTCGAGTTTCGATCTCGAGACCTCCCGCTTACTAAACGGGTGCTCTTCCACTGAGCTACACGAGCAGTTGTGAGCTGAGAGCTGAGAGAAGCGAACCTCCCCCAGAGCAAGGGCGGGCGGGGCGGGGAAGCGCCGGAACGTCTTGCTCCTCCCGCTGTGTACCGCTGCCGCTCTGACTGGGAAGATCACACGCACCTGCCTGCCTATCTTCCTGCGGCTCTGCCACACAAAGGAAGGGAAGCTGCCTCTCCCCCGGTGCGCTGGGCCCTTTTGGCGCACCCCGGCCCTTACCGGCCCCGCCTGGCCCCGGCCGGCTCAGGAGCTCCTTCCTAAAGCAGGCAGCGGCAGCCATCCCCCTCCTGTTGAGCAGCTCGCCAGGAAAGCCCCCTCCCCCTCCCGTACCCAACCCCGCTCTCCCGTCTTTCCCCCCCTCCCGTACCCTCCCCCGCCCCCATCCTCAGGTGTACTGCAGCAAGGAAAAGGCCGCCACTCTGGCGGCGTGTGGTCTGGCCCCCCGGTATGCCTCCCTCATAACCACCAACCACCTGGAGGCCAACATCCACGCGGTATGGTGTACGGCATACTGTACGGCATGGGAGTGGCAGGGATTGGGTGCGCGGGGCCGCTTTGCATACACGAAGATGCTTTATGGCTGCCCCCACCGCTATGGGCCCCTCCTCCCCCTCTTCCCCCGTTATCCCGACGCTCTCCCTCC